TATTAATCTTATATCAATATTTACACAGGTTAAGCTTTGGATGAATAAAATACAAGTCTGTGCTTTCAGCTTTATTTGTTATGTTTTGCAAGAAAATACTTATTGTTATTGAAGATTTATATATTCAATGGTTATCTATAAAAACATATATAATAATTTCTTAACAACTGTATTACAAATGATTCCGTCTTGATAATTATAAAGGTAGTAATTCGACATAAAGCGAGATTGAAGTAAAGTTTCTTAAGTCTACCATCTTCATTATGTCACATTTTCTTTGATGGAGCCTTGTATGAAAATATATTCCAATGTTTAATTATAATGGAAGACATTTTGAGATCTAAGAAAAATAAGTAAATATAACCAATGTTAATGTTAGTATCAGTCTCTACACAGCTGACGGGTCACAAAATAGGGACACTGTGTTATATAATGTTTTCAGTCTACCATCCAAATTCATATCGCGTTTTCTTTTCTTCAATGCATAGCCCATGGGTTCAAGGTTGTCTGCTTATCGCAATACTGTTTTTTAGAACGTGTGTGTGTGTGTGTGTGTGTGTGTGTGTGCGTGTGTGTGTATTCGTTAAAGTAAAAAAACTGGATACATATTTTTTTTCACAGAGAGGCCCTTTACCAAACATAACAGAATGGCCCTTCACCAAGCATAACAGAGGCCCTTCACCAAGCATAACACAAAGACCCTTCACCAAGCATAACAGAATGGCCCTTCACCAAGCATAACAAAGACCCTTCACCAAGCATAAAAGAATTACACCCTTCACCAAGCATAACCCCTTCACCAAGCATAAAAGAATGGCCCTTCACCAAGCATAACAAAGACCCTTCACCAAGCATAACAGAATGGCCCTTCACCAAGCATAACAAAGACCCTTCACCAAGCATAACAGAATGGCCCTTCACCAAGCATAACATAGAGGCTCTTTACCGAATACAACAGTGAGGCCCTTCACCGAGCATAGGCGTGGCCCTTCACCGAGCATAACAAGGGGAGCCCTGACTAAAACCACAAAAAACGACCCTTTGCTGATTATAATACAGCAGTCCTTACCTGAGCTAAAACAGAGCAGCCCTCCGAACAAAACAGACTAACCCCTCACCAAGCATTACCGACCAGCAGCCAGAGCATAACAGAGTAACCCTTCACAAGGCATTAGAGCATAAATTAATAGAAACCTTAAGAAAACATCTCGTCACTGAGTATTAAGCGTAACAGACACAGCCAACAACCTGCACTGAGCATAACGGACCCACCCACTCCTTCCACTGACCGAGCTTAAGATCCACAACCCTCCTCGCCACTACTGTTTTCACTTCCTTTCTCTATTCCCTTTATTTATTCTTCACTTTCCCTTCTACCCTGGCATGTACACTCAACCATATGGCACATAAGTTGTTTTACACTTCAGTGAGAGAGAGAGAGAGAGAGAGAGAGAGAGTATTGCAATCGGAACTATTTCTGAGTTAGATAAGGTAATTTTTTTTTACTTTTGAATTTTATTACGATTAGAAATTATACGACTACTATTACTACTACAAATAATAATAATAATAATAATAATAATAATAATAATAATAATACATAAGACATAGACATACTTAAAATAACATTGTATATATAATTATTTATATTCTTCGACAATGGACTATTTTGGACACCAACTGAGTAGAAAATCAAGATATTGTGATGAATTCCTTAGTTACCCCTTAGACATTTTCTGTGATTGAGGGAGAGGAGGAGGGGGGGGGAAGAGAACAGGGGTAAGGAGGAGAAAGAGAGGGGGGAGGGGAGAAGAGAGAGGGAAAGGGAAGAGAGTAAGAGAATAGGATTAGAATAGAGGAGAAGAGAGTAAAGAATGTCAGGAAGGAAGGAGTAGCCATGAGGTGAAGGATGACTAAGAATTATTATCTGAGCAATGACCGTGTCTGTCTGTCTGTCTGTCTGTCTGTCTGTAACTGTGTATGTGTGGATCTACGTAAACAATTATTCATATTACAATTCATATATATTCAACTAATACTAATTAATAAGTAACTAACAACTAATACTAACAAACTAACAATTACAAACAACTTATCTTACACATATTGGTCACATTGTATCGACATCTCCTCGTGAAGGGCACACACACATAGCAGAGAAACCTCCCTAAATGCCAAACAACGGAATCACCTAGAAAAAGTGCAAAAGAGGGCATGAAAGATTATTCTCTCCTCCTCCATCTCCATATATCAAGAAGCGCTCAACACACTGACCCTCTCAACTGTCTTTGAGCATCAATATGACCTTATCTGCAAGTTTGGATTAAGCTTCTGCACCATCCTCGACACCGTTTCCTGCTTCCACCAGAGATCCCTCGTCCGCAAATTGCTTTTCGACACTACCATCACATCCAGCCCATACGAAAGGAGAGTCAGGGAGGGTGAGGGAGAATCAAGGATGAACAGGATAAGTAAGGGAAGATCAGGGAGGAATAGAGACGATCAGTAAAAGTCAAGGAGGGTCAGTGAAGGTCAGAAAAGGTCATGGAAACAGAGTAGGGACATATTAGTTAAGGTAAATATATCAAAAGTGTCTTGGCTCCGACAGGTGACGTTGATTACAGATGTTGTCGCTGTTTTTAGTGAAAGTGATAATAATGATCAGGTTTAACTTATCATGACTACCCCTCTGCTCTCCTCTCCTCTCCTCTCCTCTCCTATCCTTTCCTCTCCTTTCCTCTCCTCTCCTTTCCTCTCCTTTAATCTCCTCTCCTTTCCTCTCCTCTCCTCTCCTCTCCTTTTCTCTCCTTTAATCTCCTCTCCTCTCCTCTCCTCTCCTCTCCTTTCCTCTCCTTTCCTTTCCTCTCCTTTCCTCTCCTTTCCTCTCCTCTCACTAACTCCCTTTCATCCCTGTATCCATTGTTATTCCTCTCCCGTCCTTTCCTTCTCTCCCTTCCTTTCCTTCTCTCCCGTCCTTCCCTTCTCTCCCTTCCTTCTCTTCTCTCCCTTCCTTCCCTTCTCTCCCTTCCTCCTCTTACCTGCCATCCTATCCTAATAAGTCTCTTCACCAAATGTTCGAGTCAAAAAAAATGAAAACTTGTCAATCAATCAATCAAGTAATTAAGTAATCAATTGAGTAATAAATACATTAACCAATCAATCAATCAATCAATCAATCAATCAATCAATCAATTAATCAATCAATCAATCAATCAATCACTACACCACCTTGTTTACAGTATATAAACAATAACAGACCATTTATTGGTTTGATTGTTTTGTTGACATTCTTGATATTGTACATAATTCGGTAGATGTTGCCATAGTTAACGAAATAATTAACGAAATAATTAACGAAATAATTATCTCTCGTTGCATCCAAAAGTCACAACAGAAAGTAGGATTTATGGTAATTCGTAAATTGAAATAAACAATAAAAAAGATATTATTTGAAAATGAGATAGAGGTTTATTCACTCAACTTACATACTGTATATAGAGAGAGGAGTAGAGATAGAAAGAGAAAGGAAGGGATAGAAACATAGAGAGAAAGAGTGAGAGTGAGGAGGTGGTGAGCTGTATTAACTTTACTAATATTATATATATTTTGTGCAGGCTGGTGTTTAAGAGTGGGTGTTTTGAACATATAAATAGTTCAAGTAAGTTTCTATTATATCTAATTTAAGAATCATCAAACCAATAGTAATAAAACTCAGTATTTACCCAATTACACTTTCCAAATTAGATGATCTCCCACCAATCACATTTCAGGACACAATCATTCTGCCAAGTTCTAAAATAGATATTCTAGGCCTCACTATTTCCTCTAATATGTCATGGAAGCCGCACATCCACAACATTGTTAAAGCTGCCTCCCGAGAGCTGGGAATGCTGTACAGATGCCGTAGCTACTTCACTCCTGAGCAGTTGCTTCAAGTATATAAGGGATTCATTCGTCCTAACTTGGAGTACTGCTCTCATATCTGGGGTGGCTCTTCTTCTGTCCAGCTGTTAGATAGGGTGGAATAAAAGGCTTATTAACTCTCCTCCTTTAGTTGATAATTTCTCTTCCCTTTCTCTTCACCACAATGTTGCTTCACACTCTCTCTTTTACAGGTACTTTAACGGGCAATGTTCGGTGGATTTGGCATCCTGTGTACCGCCGGCAAGGCCGTGGGCTCGTAACACACGTCTTGCCCGCGGTGCCCACCCTTTCTGTGTGGATGTCGGTCACACTATAATAACCCGTTATAGTACCTCCTTCTTTCCTCACACAGCCAAACTGTGGAATGCTCTGCCTTCTTCTGTTTCCATACTCATACAATCTGTCTCACTTCAAAAGCTGGTTTTCCGTCATCTTCGTGGTGTAGATTAATAAAATCTTTTTCTTTTCTATTTTTAATTTATTTTTATTCTTATTTTTTCTCCCCCCAGGCCCTGTTGTGGGTCGATGACCTGTGCCCGGGTGGGCTATTACCCGTAAAAAAAAAATAGTATATGAATCTATGTCATATAAGCACTTATGTAAAAAGATAGTATATGTACTTTAATATGAGTGTTAGCAATTAATGTTATGACTGATAGAAAACGGGAGAGCCAACAAGTGAAGGTGAAGGACTGGAGGGTTGCCTGACCCACGGAGAGTGAGAGACGCCCCAACTAGAGATCCTGGACCTTTGTCGAGAGTGAAGACCAGAGACCCTCGATTGTGTGGAGGAAACCACGAGGAAAATATTAAGATTGTAAATATTGTAAGTACACGTGTTTAAAGTCTCCACCCCTTGTGTGCTTGTTTCCCGTGACAGAGGGGTAGAAAGGTGGCGAGTAGAGAGAGAGAGAGAGAGAGAGAGAGAAAGAGAGAGAGAGAGAGAGAGAGAGAGAGGACAAAAAGTAACACTAGAAACACATAGACACATTTTTTTTTGACTCATTTTACTCCCCAAAGACCAACAGTGACTGACTGAGTACCGTCCAACAGTTGGGGATTAAAGAATAAACAGATTTATTCCCGTAATCGTTTATTTTATTAAGCCATTTATCGTGACGTCACAGCTTCTAGTGGTAACCTGAGAAGGAAAAAGACATTGATAATTTTTTTGATTTTTTGTTGTTAATTCCAAATAATTTAGAAAGGTGAGAAAAAGGTTTATTAAGAATATGTCTCCAGATGATAATATTGGTTAATACTTGTATGTTTGTTTGTTTTTTGTTTTTTTAGTTTTTTTCTTCTACTAAATGGGTGAAATTTACCTTTGTGTGTGAGAGGGGGGGAGGAGGTCAATACTTACCGCCATAACCCCCGTGTCCACCATGTCCGTAGCCGCCGCTGTGTCCATGCCCCTTACCATAGCCTCCACCATGGCCATGCCCCTTGCCATAGCCTCCACCATGGCCATGCCCTTTGCCATATCCTCCACCATGGCCATGCCCTTTGCCATATCCTCCGCCATGGCCCTTTCCATAGCCCCCACCATGACCTTTTCCATAGCCCCCACCATGACCTTTCCCATGGCCACCATGGCCATATCCACCACCGTGGCCCTTGCCGTAGCCAGGATCAGGGTGGGCCATGGTTAGTGCCACCACCAGCATCACCACCAAGGCCAGCAGAGCCACGCGCTGCAAGACACAACACAATTTATATAATTAAAGTGTCCAGGACTCTTAACATGAGCAGGAAGCTGGCTGAGAGAGAGAGAGAGAGAAAGAGAGAGAGAGAGAGATAACAGAGATAGCATGATAGGGAGATGAGAAGAGAGAGACAGATTAACATAGGTATCAACGGAATCTTACACAGGTGATATGAAGTAGACATAATCATAGTGAAGATCATGACTTTGAAGTAAGATGATCTACGAAAAATTGAGTGACATGACGAAAAGTTTATTCAATTACGAAAAAAAAAAACTTCATCATCTGTATTTACATTATTAAACGAATTGAAATATACTAAAGATAATTGTCTTATGAAATTAAAAAAACAAGATGAATAAAGGATATTCCATTTTATCATTATATCAAGTTATGATTTTCAAAGACTAATAAAACGAAAAGATTTATGTAGTCTCAGTTCTTACCACGTTGAAGTACATGTTGTCTATAAGGGAGTCAAGTAGACACTGATGATTCCCTACACAGACACCGTTCTTATATAGAAAAAGAGAGAGGGGGGGGGGGGCGGACACTCACCAACCTACGACACAAACACACGCAATGACTTATTCTCTATAGTCACGGACGATCGGTTCCAGTAACGGATCATTTGAAGTACTTTTTCTACGTACTGTGGTCCATGCTGAGCCAATGACTGGGCCGTCCTTGGTGGCGGGAAACTATACTTACTGGTAGGAAAATCAGTTATTACCGTCACTTGTGATAAATGTGGGTAATTTGTACATAATTTCGTGACTTGTAATATTATGGCTCTGTATCGTATGTGGCAAGTATTGTGACTTTGGTTAGGTTAGGTTATGGTAGGTTTGGTTAGGTTAGGTGTCACTGAATTATAAGATAAATCAATGGGAATATATTTTTTACGCTAAATAGTGATGATTTATTGGCCTATGTATTTACTTTACTTTTGTTTGGCCATAGACGATAATGTAGTTATTAATAATACATACATATAAATTAATAGTTTCATTACAGAATCTAACCTAACCAAACCAAACCTAACCTAATCTAACCTTACCTAATCTAACAAAACTTAATCTAACCTAATCTAAGCTAACCTAACCTAAACTAACATACCCTGGTCTCATTTACTTTACTATAAGTATAAATTGCTATTATATGAAGTTAAACGTATTAAGTATAACAGCAAATTTTACCATAAAAGAAAATATTTTGTATATACTGTATATATCATGTAGATCCACAATGGAAACGAAGATTAGATAACTCTTGATAAAATCACACAGGGAAAAGGAAACAATGGAGAACCTTTCGTCTTTATTCAAGACATCTTCAGAGGCAACTGAATTACATGGAGTTTTTTGAGGCTTGATTACTACCCAACATAGTGGACTTTATTCCTCCATGGTATAGATATGTAGATGATGTTCTTAGTCTATGGCCTAGAAACAGTGACCCACTGGAATTTTTAGACAAGCTTAATTATCTTGTCCCTAGTATTACCTTCAAAATTGAAAGAGAGATAAATGGATCCCTTCCATTTCTTGATATGCTTATCATGAGAAATGGTCATACCTATAAAATTAAGGTATACAGAAAGCATACACAGGTAGATAGCTTCATACATTTTTTATCGAGTCACCTGGAATCTACCAAAATGTCAGTTTTTTCTGCTATGTTTTGAGATGTTTACGTGTTTGTGACCCTGAATTTATTGAAGAAGAATTGCAACACATTCAATCCATTGCACAAAAACTTGGGTACCCTTCATTGTTTGTTGGTCGTTGTTTTAAAATGGCAAAACAATCCTTTTATTCTATTAAAATTAGGCAAGTTCTTACATTTAAGAATATTTTGACTACCTTATTGCAATGAATTTGTCCCGTCAGTTCAGTCCCTTAAATTATTAAACTTCAATGTTGTTTTTAAGTATGACTCAACTATTACTAATATATTAATCAAGAATAACCCAACCTTGAATGTAAATGGAAGTGTTTACTGTATTCCAAGTAGCAATTTTAATGGAAATTATGTAGGTCAGACTGGGAAAGTATTGCAACCCAGAATTAAACAGCACAAGTACAATATTAGAACAGCATCTGAAAGCAGTGCACTGTTCGTTCATGTTACGGACAATAATCATCCCATAGATTGGCAAAACAGTTTAGAAGTATATAAATCTTCATGTGTCACAGAAAGACTTTTAGTTGAAGCAAGTTTGATTAGAGAAATGTATTCTTTAAACCTTAGTGATGGTCAGTACAAAACTGATAATATGTTACACAAATTTATTTGTCAGTGGCCTAAGGTTAAAAATGCTTTGAAAGCATGAAAGGTAAATGTATGATAGATGATTAGTGGGACTCATATTTTTTACCTGACATGACATGACTAGTTATGTCACTCGTTCTTATAATCTCTCCTTATTTTGCTGTGTGGATTAGTGGATGTCATGTTTTTTGACCTGACCTCATGTTTTGTAAGGTCACCCTGTGTACATAAGCTCTCTCTCAGTCTTTATAATTCAGTTGCCTCTGAAGATGTCTTGAATAAAGACGAAAGCTAAGGTTCTCCAATGTTCCCCCTCCATCATGGTGTTGAGTAAAACATTCGTCATACATGTCTTTGGTGTTATGGAGTCATACAGTGATTCGGTAGTAATAACATAACCATCCCCAGTGTCATCTAGTATCTCAGTTATCGCATGTTATCCCTGTTCCCCAGTTATCACATGTTATCCCTGTTCCCCAGTTATCACATGTTATCCCTGTTCCCCAGTTATCGCATGTTATCCCTGTTCCCCAGTTATCCTCTCTACCTCTCCCCTCACATCGGTTACCCTTGGTGGAGTAAAGAACTAAACACTAACAAAAGAGAATTAGAGAATAAAGAAAGAATAAAAGTAATTAAATAAATAGAATTAAGAAAGGTGAAAATAAAGCTATTAATACGTACACCTAACCTAACCTAACCTAACCTAACCTAACCTAACCTAACCTAACCTGACCTAACCTGACCTAACCTGGACAGATAAGTTAAGGAGACTGAGGGGATGGAGGGATACGTGACTTGCAGTTGTACATTATAATGATAGTTGTTTAAGGTGATCACGAGAGAGAGAGAGAGAGAGAGAGAGAGAGAGAGAGAGAGAGAGAGAGAGAGAGAGTGAGAGAGAGAGAGAGAGAGTGTAAGTTTCTAATGAACTATCACGATAACCAATCAATCGTGACGTCACACCCCCAATTCAACCTTTGAACCCCCCTACAAGAAATTAAACCGTGACGTCACAGAATAATTCGTGACGTCATGGTGTGATGAAGCATGACACCATTGTTGGGTGACCCGCCTTTATGGTGATAGTCCACCTCACTATAAATACGGTACCATTGTAGAGGTTGATCAGTGTCGCCTTAACTCCTATACTGTCAACATGTCCCTCAACCTGGTAAGCTTATGGGTGATATATAATGTAGTATATAATAATGTAAAAATAATCTAAAGTCTTAAAAGATATCGTAATACTGTATAGCCACTTGATTTACACACCTCATGTCACATTGCTGTTTCATATGATAACCAAAGTTGTAGTTATCGAGGAGCCAGAGTGTGAACAGCTGATTTTAAAGCCAAGTCATAATTTATCTTCCTAAAACAACACTTTTTTGTTCAATTTCGGATTAGAAGATGACAATCCTGACGTGTTTTATGACAAATAACTCTCGTTTACATCAGTCATTTCTAAGTTAATAATGTGTTCAAGTAACTGGTGGAGAGTTATGTCAACTATTATTGTTATCTCAGGTTAAGTTCAATGTGATCTTGAGTCATCAGTTGTTTGTGTCTCGTTAAGTCATGAAGGATGAGCGTTATAATATGTCTTACAGCGTGTGGCCCTGTTGGCCCTTGTGGTGATGCTGGTGGTAGCCTTGGCCATGGCTAATCCTGATCCTGGATACGGCAAGGGTCATGGAGGTGGATATGGCAAAGGCCATGGTGGAGGCTACGGCAAGGGCCACAGGTGGATATGGCAAGGGTCACGGCGGTGGATATGGCCATGGTGGGACATGGTGGACACGGAGGCGGGTACGGACATGGTGGACACGGCGGTGGCTACGGACATGGCGGACACAGAGGTGGCTACGGACACGGTGGTAAGTGTGTGTCCAAACAAACACACAACTCTCCCTGGTCAAGACTTTACACACTTCCAAAAGCATCTGTACATTCTTCTGTGAGACAATATGACATTCTAGTTCTTAATCATAATCACAAGCTTGAATGAAACAAGAAAAACTTTTGAATGATATTAAAAATCTCCTTTTCTTTCAGGTTGAGAGCTCGACGATATAAATAAATTAAGATAAAAATACTGATAGTTATTTCAAAGAATATGTTAATTTTTTTCACTCCCCATTCTTTGTAAACTTAAAATGTTGATGTTACGAATATTTTGGGCACACAAAACTGTCCTAAACAGATGAGTGCAACAATGAACAAGAAAGACCAAGACAACTTATGTACGTAAGTGGAAGACTATCATACATATGCTCAATATAAGCACTGATGCTATCTATTTATACATATACATTGTTAAATATGCATAAAATATCATTGTTCAATCTTGGAAGTGTATTCCCTCAGTGACTTAAGCAAAGGGATAGACGTCAACATTGTCAATAACAGCTTGAACCGCCAATTCAGTGTCACTCACATTGACTGGTTCGGATCAGAATATGTTTCCAGTGTAAAACAAAAGGGTTCGAGACGCATTAAATCTGTAACACCATCGCTATACACCAATAATACACTATAAATCTAGAAAGTCATCATTTAGCATCATTAATATATTTTATAAATCTGTCATAACATCAAGAAAACATCAATAATACACCGTAAATCTGCTATACCATCACGAAACATCAATAATACACCATAAATCTGTCAGAACATCAAGAAAACATCAATAATACGCCATAAATCTGTCATACCATCACGAAAACTTCAATAATACGTCATAAATCTGCCATACCACCACGAAAACTTCAATAAAACGCCATAAATCTGTCAGAACATCAAGAAAACATCAATAATACGCCATAAATCTGTCATACCATCACGAAAACATCAATAAAACGCAATAAATCTGTCATACCATCACGAAAACATCAATAATACGCCATAAATCTGCCATACCACCACGAAAACATCAATAATACACCACAAATTTGCTATACCATCACGAAAACATCAATAATACGCCATAAATCTGCCATACCATCACGAAAACTTCAATAAAACGCCATAAATCTGTCATACCACCACGAAACATCAATAATACGCCATTAATGTTGTCAAAAGAATGATTTTATTATTTCAAAGCAATTTATGATAATATTTTCGGGATTATTTTATGCATACTACCAAAAATTAATTACTTGTAATATAATTTGGATATTAATTTACGTTGAAAGGGAAATATCATACTTGTGTTGTGTTGTTATAGATGGACCTAATTATACTTTTTAATATCAAGTTATAAATACCTTCTAATTGACTTTGTATTATGTGCTTACGAATTATACCCATCACCAGGCAGTGTACCTACGAATTATACCCATCACCAGGCAGTGTACCTATGAATTATACCCATCACCAGGCAGTGTACCCACGAATTATACCCATCACCAGGCAGTGTACCCATAAATTATACCCATTACTACTCAGTGTACCTATGAATTATACCCATCACCAGGCAGTGTACCCATGAATTATACCCATCACCAGGCAGTGTACCCATGAATTATACCCATCAACAGGCAGGTAACGGCGAATTATACCCATCACCAGGCAGTGTACCATGAATTATTCCATCACCAGGCAGTGTACCCATGAATTATACCCATCACCAGACAGTGTACCCATGAATTATATCCCATCACCAGGCAGTGTACCCATGAATTATACCCATCACCAGACAGTGTACCCATGAATTATACCCATCACCAGGCAGTGTACCCATGAATTATACCCATCACCAGGCAGTGTACCCACGAATTATACCCATTACCAGGGGGGGGGGGTGGAGGGAGGCACACCCGTTGTTGTCTCACTACAGGAGAAAGTCGAAGGTAAATATTGTAATAAATGAAGTCATTATTGGCGTCGTATAGGAGTCAATACTGTACCTACCTTTGTTTATTATGGCACCTGTGTTTATGGCAGGGGATTTGTTATTTTCTATCTATCTATCTATCTATCTATCTATCTATCATGAGATGGCTTAGGGGTTTTTGCCTTCGATTCCGATTTCTCAACTTTTTTTGGTGATTTTCAGGAATAATTTACAGTTTTTAGTATAATCATTATTTTTGAATTGACCATTTGTTTACGATTGTCTATATATCGTATTGTATCGTGTAGTATCGTATTATATGGTATCGTATCGGGTAGAATTGTATTATATGGTATCGTATCATAGAGAATCGTATAGTATGGTATCGTATCGGGTAGAATTGTATTATATGGTATCGTATCATAGAGAATCGTATAGTATGGTATCGTATCGCGTAGAATTGTATCATATGGTATCGTATCATAGAGAATCGTATAGTATGGTATCGTATTGCGTAGAATTGTATTATATGGTATCGTATCATAGAGAATCGTATAGTATGGTATCGTATCGCGTAGAATTGTATTATATGGTATCGTATCATAGAGAATCGTATAGTATGGTATCGTATCGGGTAGAATCGAACTGCGGCGGTATCGTATCGGCAGAATCACCGGCGGTATCGTAGCGGCAGAATCGAATCATGGTACCAGATCGGGTAGAATGCATTATATGGTTTCGTATCGGGTAGAATCTTATCATATGGTGTCGTATCGGGTAGAATCGTATTATATGGTATCGTATCGGGTAGAATTGTATTATATGGTATCGTATCGGGTAGTATCGTATTATATGGTATCGTATCGGGTAGAATCGTATTATATGGTATCGTATCGGGTAGAATCGTATTATATGGTATCGTATCGGGTAGTATCGTATCATGTGGTATCGTATCATAGAGAATGGTATCGTATGTGATGGTCGTATCTTGAACGTGATGTCTCTGTGTACACGGTGAAGCGAATAGAGTCGCCGTGGATGAATGCTGGGGAATGGAATCACTTTATTGGTAAAATATAATGCAACTTGAGGATATGTGTGTGTGTGTGTGTGTGTGTGTGTGTGTGTTGCTATTTCTTATTTATTTTCCTTTTTTTTATTGGATTCTACTCTATCTTACGATTCTTCCATTCAGTCTATTTTTTTAATGGAATTTTCTCTACGTTGATCTATTCCGTTACAAGAGAATAGATGGAAGAGAATTAGAATGGAAAAGAAAGAGACTGTTACTTTACCCTGAAATATCTTTTTATCATAGCCGCCCATCCTTCATGGTCTGTTCACCTCAAGAACCCTTCCCCTCCTTCTCCCCCTCACGCACACATGTTTTGCCTTCACTGTCAACACCATCTGTTTGCGTTTTCGTAAGGCAATCCAGTGACGTCACATACATCACCACCCAGAGCTGTATAAAATGGATGGCTGGTGCAGGCAGGAATCAGTGTCTCGTCTGATCTTATCGACTCTACCCAAACATTGAAGATGGTAAGTGATTTCAATTATAATTATCTCTGTGAATAGATATTAAGCCATATTTAAATGAAGGATGTTTTTAACTTTGTAATAATATTAAAATACAACTTTTATTGATGCTATTATTTTGGTTGATGTGAATTAGGAATTACTGAGATGAGGATATTTTGCTAAGTATAATATAGGTACAGTCAGTACCCCACCCTGGGTCTCGTTCTCGCAAGTTTACCTGGCAATGCTTGGTGAAGGAAGACTGTATGTAAAGGTGATTGATGGATCTGTTTTAGGCTGTATTTCTGTCAGGATAAATATTAAACAAACCAAAGGTAGAATTTTTATAATAATAAACTATTCATTGTTATTTAAGGTCACGAGAAGTTTCCAAATGTTCTTATATTTGTTTAAATAATGAAGAAAATTTGATCTGAGGATCTTGTGGCAGCTGTAGTTGTAGTTGAGTTGCCAATTCATTAATATAATTTCTTCATTATTTAAACAAATATACGAACATTTGGAAACTTCTCGTGACCTTAAATAACAATGAATAGTTTATTATTATAAAAATTCTACCTTTGGTTTGTTAAATATTTATCCTGACAGAAATACAGCCTAAAACAGATCCATCAATCACCTTTACATACAGTCTTCCTTCACTAAGCATTGCCAGGTAAACTTGCGAGCACGAGACCCAGGGTGGAGTCAGTGCATCTTTGGCTGACTGTACGTTTCCCTTATTAAGAATCCTGTTAGTTTACTGTATAATATGGTAATACTGACAGTCCTGAAGAAACACTGTGTATGTCTGTTACAGCGTGTGGTGGTAGTGGTGGCCCTGGTGGTGGTGGTGATGGCGGCCCTGACCCTGGCCGACCCTGAGCCAACCTTCTTTCACCTTAAGGGGTATGGGAAGGGCCATGGTGGTGGAGGTGGCGGCTATGGCGGCGGAGGTGGCGGCTATGGAGGCGGCGGAAAAGGCAAAGGAAAGGGCCATGGAGGAGGTGGTGGCGGCTATGGAGGCGGCGGAAAAACAAGGAAGGGAGCCATGGAGGAGGCGGTATGGCGGCTATGGGCAGTGGTGGCGGCAGGAAGAGCAAGAAAGACCATGGAGGTGGTGGCTATGGTGATGGAGAGCAAGAAAGAGGCCATGGTGTGGAGGTGGCAGCTATGGCAGTGGCTATGGCGGTGGCGGAGGTGGCGGCTATGGCGGTGGCGGCCATGGCGGTGGCGGCTATGGGAAGTAAGCCTATTGTGGCGGCTGTTGTTATGAGGGAAGCTTGGGTAAGACTGTTTCTGAGTTATTATTATTATTATTATTATTATTATTACTTTTTAGCAGTGATATAAATAGCTTAGTTCGCCATTCAATAGTTGGTTTTATATACAGGCTGTCTCAGAAAATTATATACACACTGCCTTATCTTGGAGATCGCGCGAATATCATTTGTACTTTAACAACACAGACCTTTCTTGTTGTTGTGTCAGGTCTCCAACTAGTGGGGATAATACTAGTTTTAATACAACCATTCAGGCTATCTCACACCTGTATCTAGTGAATCCATTTTATATTTCCTCATTTACATTCTCTCATAAGTGCAGCACTATAATATTGGCCAATGTAGAGGAGGGGGTCAGATCTAACGGACACTTGATATAACGGATTTTTCTCTCCATATAGACCGTTAATTAGAGGTTTTACTATATCTATGTTGTTGATGTTAAGAGAGTTAAATATGTATGATGGCTGAGGTTACGATATATATACAGGTACACACACACACACACACACACACACACACACACACACACACACACACACACACACACACACACACACACACACACACACACACACACACACACACACACACACCAGAGCGATTTAACCCAATATAATATAACTCTTTATATCTCCCTTTAATTACAGGTGACCATCAGGTACATCCGTGTAGGAAGGTTGTGTGTGTAAATAAAGTTAAAGAAAGATATTTATTGACTCTTACTTTGATTCCTTGATTGATTGTTTTGTTTACTTATTTGTTAACTACGTTACCGATAAGGGCAAATGGTTTCAGTCTCAATAAACAAGAATTTACAGATGCCAATGTTCTAAGGTACGGTAGGCCAGTAGAAGGTTTGCCCTCCCAATGCGTGTGTGGCTCTTCCTATGACGTCGATCACTCCATGGTGTGCAAGAAAGGGGGCTTCATATGCATGAGGCATGACGAAGTAAGGGATCTCACTGTAAATATGTTGAAGGAAATATGTCAGGATGTCACAGTAGAACCGACCCTCCTTCCATTGGACGGTGAGAATTTCCAACATCAGACTTTAAACTCATCCAACGAATCCCATGTTGACGTCAGTGCCCGAGGATTCTGGACGCGGGGACAGCGAGCCTTCTTCGGCATCAGGATTTTTTATCCCATGGCCGCATGTCACCGTAACTTAGCTCTCGATGCTGTACACAGGAGGAACGAGAACGACAAGATAAGGGCATTTGAGGAGAGAACTCAGAACGTCGGTGGGATGGGACGAAATGCAAGATGCTTCTACGCCAGACTCGCGGAGGTGCCATCCGAACAGAGGCAGCAGCCCAGAAGTTATGTTACAGCCTGGATGAGATGTCGACTGTCCTTCTCTCTCCTTAGGTCGGCTTTGCTCTGCCTCAGGGGAACGAGAGCATCGGCCCCAAAGACGACAACAGTTGCAGATATTGACTACGAGGCAACAGTCACTGAATGACGCATAGATCTGCGGCTCAACTAACTCAACACAGCTAGGGTAGCTACTTTTGTATTAGGATAGTTAATTTTAAGGTAATAAGATGGCGGCGAAGGTGTGGCTATTGGGGGAGGCTGGAGACCACGTTCAAAAAAGAAAAAGAAAAAACTAGAAGTAGTCGGGACACAATACCCTGCGTGAGAACCAGAGTTACTCAGCTACAGCGCTGAAACAAAGCACAGAAGCGATTGTGATGTGTTACGTTATACTAAGAAACGTTTTATCTTCCTCTGTGTAAACGTTCGTACTGTATAACACACGTATACGAACTGCCTCTATAACAACAAACTTTTAAATTGAAACATATTACATGTCGTCCACTCAACCAGGGTCGTTAACAGTTGACACCATAGTTCATCTGTTACTTGTTATGTGATGTAGTGAATAATATACCGGCGGTAAAAATATACTGTAGTTTATTTTGTATACAAGTAAGGTCTCCAGCCAGGTCATAATATTAATGTTATACACATGGAGCCATAAACATAAACACACACACACACACACACACACACACACACACACACACACACACACACACACACACACACACACAGGACTTAGCATCTGGCATTAAGTCTTGACCACACCCATGGATAAATGTCAGAGATGACTGGATGGACATCCTGCCATGTGTGTGTGTGTGTGTGTGTATAAATACGACAACTCAACCCTGAGAGTACCCTAACAATTAAAACATTATATACGATAGATTAAGTCACCTTAATCAAAGGGTTAACAGATCTTACTAAATGAGCTAAACACAAGATAATATTCCCTATTGTATATATAATATAAATAAAGGCTGACTTCATACTATCATGTATGTTTATGGCTCCATATGTATAACATTAATATTATGACCTGGCTGGAGACCTTACTTGTATACAAAATAAACTACAGTATTTTTTTACCGCCGGTATATTATTCACTACATCACATAACAAGTAACAGATGAACTATGGTGTCAACTGTTAACGACCCTGGTTGAGTGGACGACATGTAATATGTTTCAATTTAAAAGTTTGTTGTTATAGAGGCAGTTCGTATACGTGTGTTATACAGTACGAACGTTTACACAGAGGAAGATAAAACGTTTCTTAGTATAAAGTAACACATCACAATCGCTTCTGTGCTTTGTTTTAGCGCTGTAGCTGAGTAACTCTGGTTCTCACGCAGGGTATTGTGTCCCGAAGTATGACGTCACCATCCGTTCTATCTTTAAAATGTCCGCAATATGAAGGAAGATTAACCGAGATTGTGAAAATTGTTTCTTTAAATATGCACATTAAATATACACTCCAAATATTATAGTAGTTTATATGTGAACAAAAGTGACACCCATTAATAAAAAGACAATTATTTGTTATTATTATTACTGTATTAGTGCGGGTCTCATCTTCCACTCATCAAGCATAACATGTATTAGTGTGGGTATCTTCTTCCACTCATCAAGCATAACATGTATTAATGTGGGTATCATCTTCCACTCATCAAGCATAACATGTATTAGTGTGGGTATCATCTTCCACTCATCAAGCATAACATGTATTAGTGTGGGTATCATCTTCCACTCATCAAACATAACATGTATTAGTGTGGGTATCATCTTCCACTCATCAAGCATAACATGTATTAGTGTGGGTATCATCTTCCACTCATCAAGCATAACATGTATTAGTGTGGGTATCATCTTCCACTCATCAAACATAACATGTATTAGTGTGGGTATCATCTTCCACTCATCAAGCATAACATGTATTAGTGTGGGTATCATCTTCCACTCATCAAGCATAACATGTATTAGTGTGGGTATCATCTTCCACTCATCAAACATAACATGTATTAGTGTGGGTATCATCTTCCACTCATCAAGCATAACATGTATTAGTGTGGGTATCATCTTCCACTCATCAAACATAACATGTATTAGTGTGGGTATCATCTTCCACTCATCAAGCATAACATGTATTAGTGTGGGTATCATCTTCCACTCATCAAGCATAACATGTATTAGTGTGGGTATCATCTTCCACTCATCAAACATAACATGTATTAGTGTGGGTATCATCTTCCACTCATCAAACATTGTCTCCCGGTTGTTTTCCAAAATAAATCGTCATTCAACTTGCAAGATCATTGTTACTGGTCAAACTTGAGTGAGTAGACGACACCTATACTATACAGTACACACATCACCTGGCAGTACTTCAGAGAGTTACTATTACATTATTTACCATTATGAAACAAGTACAGTGTAACAGTGGTGTAAGTACTGACGTAGGGAACCATTGTCTACATGTAGTCGACCAACAGGATGCTTGGTTGGTCAACTCTTGTCACTATAACCCCAGTAAGACGTGACTAATGTTGGTGTAGTGAGCGTTGTGGAGGAGCCTTAGTTGTTACCTAAAGACAAGTGCCTTTATAGATCACTCCTCCTGTAGCTGCAGGAAGTATTGCGGTAAAATCTCGTATATCCTGCAGAAGAGAGACTTTGCAAAATACTATTCCTGTAGTTGTGAAGACTTTGTATAGTTACAGACCATGAATTCTGTAACCGTAGGATATGTTACAGAAATATCGTAATTACCCTGTAGATGGAGTGTTGTTGATAATAAGTCCTGTAGCTGTAGAAGGTGTAGTGGAAGAGTCTTCATCTGTGTTTTAGAAGAGAGATTCCACACACAGAGACAGGGAGAGAGCCTTGTGGGTGATTGTTCGTGGGTGTGGTCGGAAGTAACTGTCAAGGCAACAAACTTCCCGAAAGTGTGAGGACTGTGAAGACAAATACTGTTACTAAAAACGTGTTGGAGAAGCACCCCTCCCCCCCCACCCCCCCACCCTCTTCCCTCGCTTAGGATGTACCGAAGGACACTCGTGGATGACCTGAAGGATCCTACTGTGAGTTCCTGTTACAATATCTCCCGGAACAACTCTTGAAGGCTCGTTCTGGAGGACACCAAACACACCCCTTGGTGGACGACGCGAAGCCACGAATTCAGAAAACTCCAACAGGAAGACCTCAGCGATATCTGGTGACGGAGGGATTAAGTCAATACTAATTCTACACTCCCTGATATCGACAATGGCTGATTCAATAAGTAAGGTCACAAGTTTTCTTGGTGTTAGTTAAGTGACGTGATAGTCTGAACAAGTCTTGGTAACTGGCTATCAGGCGTTGTCCGTGACTACATTATCTGCACGACAACATCCTCCCCACTGTCAGCACTACATCCACGAGATTAAACCTCTTACATTTGGGGTTTTATTATTACGAGAAATATTTTATGGGCAAGAAATAGTTCAGAAATAATTTAAATTAAACATTACTAAAAGAGAGGTAATGTGAAATATTAATTGTGTTAGCTATAGGATATCTTTCAATACATACATACATACATACATACATACATACATACATACATACATATATACTTACATACATACACCTGTCACCATAATGGGGACATAATAATTACCACAAGAGCTAAAAAATCGTTAATGGTAAATATTGTTTTAGCTTCATCTCGGGTAAGTTAATATTGTTTTAGCTTCATCTAGGAGAAATTACTATTGTTTGAGCTTCATCTCGGGTAAGTTAATATTGTTTTAGCTTCATCTAGGAGAAATTACTATTGTTTGAGCTTCATCTAGGGGAAGTTAATATTGTTTTAGCTTCATTTCGGGGAAGTTTATGTGGTTTTAGCTTCATCTAGGAGAAGTTAATATTGTTTTAGCTTCATCTAGGGGAAGTTAGTGTTGGATAAGTGGTTTTCAGGTGACGTTAACACCAATTACCACTTTTATCACAGACTTAATACCATTTTACCACTTTAAAGCTAAGTTAACACCAATTTACCACTTTAAAGCTAAGTTAACACCAATTTACCACTTTAAAGCTAAGTTAACACCAATTTACCACTATAAAGCTAAGTTAACACCAATTTACCACTATAAAGCTAAGTTAACACCAATTTACCACTTTAAAGCTAAGTTAACACCAATTTACTACTTTAAAGCTAATTTTTTATCACTTTCAGCACCATCTTACCCATCCACCACCTGCCCGACGGTGAGCTATACGCAGGAGGAGAACCAACGTCTGTTTATCTGCGTTATCTATATCATGGCGTTCCTGGTAGTGATTCAGATCGTGGCTATTGCGGTCAGTACTACCTACTACTTCCTCATGAGCCGGAAATACAAGAAACTCCTAACAGAAACAGGTGAGAGATAGTGAGATAATGAGAAAGGGTGATTGAGACTAACAGGTAGAAAGAATAAATAAGGAGAGGTAATTAGGACAGGCAGGTAGGATAAGAGAGAGAGAGAGAGAGAGAGAGAGAGAGAGAGAGAGAGAGAGAGAGAGAGAGAGAGAGAGTAACATTGGTAAACTTTATCACTCACGTTAAAAAATTTGTTCACACCTAGTTTATATCAAACACACTCCTTGCACACAACAAACAGTCTCCTCAATCAACCAATCAGAGTACCAGCCTCATATCTGAGGGTTGGCGACCACAGTCCTCCACTCTAAATGTTCTCAGGCTGTTTTTACCAATCCTCTAAGGTTTTGTATCTCTCTCTGGGTACGAAGATTTTAATTTAATTCACCCATCCCAGTCTCTACCTTCCCCTGGTCCTCCTACCCTCAACTTTGTCCATTAATATAGCTGTTATTATTCCCCTATCCATAATTATATGAACAGAGTATCTCATTTTTTTCTGTGCATTTCAAGTATTTCTCATGAATTTTTTTTGCTTATCTTAGTAGTTCTTCATTTGTTTTCCTTAGCATTCACCTATAACATCACACGAGAGTTTCATATCTAGCTCTGTATAACGGAATTTCCTCTCCATATAGTCCGTTAAATTGAGGTTTCACTGTATTTCTCTAAATGACCCCAAAAATATTCACGTAGACCGCCATCTTGTGTTCATTAGTAAACAAAACTTTTACTGAGACTCAGACTGAATGAAGTAACGAGTAGAATTATTAACTCAGGGTCACATAACGGCTACCAAATAATTCATTACTAGATAAGATACTCAGTGAGATAATATCAAGTTGTACTACAGATTAAACTGGTTATTTATGTGATGGTGATTAATTCTTGCAGGAAAACAAAAGAAAGGACATATTTGTCTTCATTATGACAACATCTGCAACACCAGCAACGACCATCACGTTTACGAAGAAGTCGACGATGCTGAGAAACACATCTACGAAGAAGTCAAGTTAGACATGCAAGACGATGTGAATCTATACACAAACCTCAGCTTCGACAATCAAGATGACAAACACAAGAAAAGTGACGTCGGCAAACACAAGAAAAGTGACGTCGACAAACACAAGAAAAGTGACGTCGACAAACAAGACGCCATGACAATTTTCTCAGAACTGAAAATCAAGATTCAAGAAAAGACTAACAAAGAGGAATCCAATGACGACAAACACATATACTTGACGATGAATAAAATTTCTGGCTGATGAGAACCACGGCACAAGGCCAGGCCAGCCACGACTAGTTTGGGGAATTTTTAGTCGTTTCTGTAAGTTGATTGGATGAAGACAAACGCACCTCAGTGGCCAAGTGAAGGAAACTTATGTTAACGCTTCCATGTGTGACGTCTTGAAACATTATTATTTATTATTAGGAAGTGTAAAGAGACTCTTAACATAACTTAATCGAAAAGAACCTAATTCAACTTTAATATAACATAACATAACTTAATGTGAAGTACCTTTAACTTAATTTAATGTAACCAAACTTAATTCAATTATTGTAATTTAACTTAACTTAATTTAACTGAGACTAATCTAACATAATATAACCTAAACAAAACTAACCTAACCTAACCTAACCTAACTTAACCTAACCTAAACTAACCTAACTTAAACCCTATAAATTATGGCCCAACTTACACGAACAGAACCTAACTAACCTGAGTTAACCTAACTGAGCATAACCTATCCAAACCTAATTTAACCTGCCTTTAAATAACCTAACCAAACTTAACCTAACCTAACCTAACTTATCCTAACCTAACCTAACCTAACCTAACCTAACTTACCAACCTCAACCCAACCCAGACTTAACTATCTCACATGGATGGTGGTAATGATCTGAGAGACGTTTAGGATATCCGGACGTCTTTATAGTGGCCATAATTCAATAGACAATGTCACTGGTCTTCTAAAAATAAAATAAGGTTCCAATAATCTAGTAGGTGTATTATGTAAACAATGTTTGGATTACTTCTTCCTGTAGGATTAATAATTAATTTTGTTTGTTTTGTTTAGTTTGTCACGGCTTTTGTTTAGTTTGTCACGGCTTTTGTTTAGTTTGTCACGGCTTTTGTTTAGTTTGTCACGGCTTTTCCTTTGAAAATTTGGTTTAATTGTCTTTTATGCGATGTTTATTTTTGTTTTTATATTTACATTTATGGTCTGAGTTTTGGTGTGTGTGTGTGTGTGTGTGTGTGTGTGTGTGTGTGTGTGTGCTTTATACCTACAGTACCTTGTATTTGAAATTTATACAATTATATTAGTTTTTATGATAAATAAATGTATAACTTTATATCAGTTATCACAACTCTTTCTGTCTTCATGTACACAGACGAGGTTGTGTAATTAAAACAACCAGAGGAATCTTGGTGTTTTTATATAACCTGTTGTAATTGAAGTGATAACTATGTTCATGTGTTTTGTGATCCTCCTGTTATTATTATTGTTATTATTATTATTATTATTATTATTATTATTATTATTATTATTATTATTATTTTTATTATTATTATTATTGTTATTATTATTATTATTATTATTATTATTATTATTATTATTGTTGTTGTTGTTGTTGTTGTTGTTGTTGTTGTTAGTTATTATTATTAATGGTATTGTTGTCATCATCATTGTTATTTTTACTATTCCATTATTCAGCAGCCGCATTAGTAGTAGTAGTACTGAATGCCGCATAGATCTGCGGCTCAACTAACTCAACAAAGCTAGGGTAGCTACTTATGTATTAGGATATTTAATTTTAAGGTAATAAAATGGCGGCGAAGGTGTGGCTATTGGGGGAGGCTGGAGGCCACGTTTTCTCTTGAAAAAAAAGTAGTAGTAGTAGTAGTAGTAGTAGTAGTAGTAATATTGGTATATACCTGAATTTTCTACAAAACACACTAACTGAGATTCACAAAGGATAATGGAAGTATCGAAATCCCTATACAGTAATAAGTGGTTAGTGGTACTGTACTGTACGCCAGGCATCGTTTGAGCGACCAGCTGGGTAAAGTGAGATAGAGTGAACATGAATGAAAGCGTCTCTCTGCTTCGCCCACTTCTGCAGCTACGTAAACACAAGTCGCGTGTCTCTTGAGTGAAAGGTAATGTTATAGATCATGTTTTTACTGTCAATTCAACCTGGTTGATTCTAGAAAGCAGGAACACAGAGTTGTCATTTTCGAGAAACTTGGTTGGCTGCTGATTTAGTGGGCCTAGCTTGGCTACTGCCTGTGGTAGTGAGTAGTCGTCCTCAGACTTTCATGAATACGAAGCGAGTCAAGTCTCCATACATAGGCAAAATGATCACTTTATTATAAAGTCACTTGTAAGCCACAAAATATGTTCTATATGGGCACCATTACATTTCAGCAAGATGGGGCGTCACCCCATTACGGTATCCGCGTGGCTGGATCAGCAGTTTCCGGCTCACTGGATTGGCCACCGTGGTCCCTTGGAGTGGCCTCCGAGGTCCCCAGACCTCACCCCCCCCTTGATTTATACTTGTGGGGGCACTTGAAGGCTACGGTGTACCAGGTGAAGATACAAAACACGGACCACCTTAAGGAACACATTCATGAAGCGTGTGTGCGCCAACACCAGACTTGTTAAGGCTCGTTCACCATGAGTGGGAGGAACACATCCGTATGTGCATTCAGTGACTTACAAGTGATTGTATAATAAAGTGATCATTTTGCCTATGTATGGAGACTTGACTCGCCCTGTAGATTAAAAAAGATATCGTTCTAATCATATTATTTTTCTTAACTTATTATGATAACACGAATAAAACTCACGAATGAAATTAGATTTTTTTGATGGCTTAAATTTGTAAGGGAAATTTTTATATATCATTGTTGCATTAAAACAATACACATGCAGTACAGTAGCACCGTGTGAGTGAGGAGTCAGACAGGACGAGAAGAAACACCCCAGTCGATCAAACGGTCCAGAAAGAACTGAAGACTGTTTATCATCCTAACAAATTTCAAGCATTAGTGCGCATCTTTCCCCAATTGTTAATCGCAGAACAACATAACATTCACTGTAAACATTGATCAGAGTTATTCATCGTACCTCAGGCAGATCACTCACTGCTTGGGTAATTATGCACGATAATCATAATGACTCGTCAACGATCTGAAAGCAACGGGGAGTGAAATTATTGACTGAAGAGCAATTCTGATTTCTTTTGCATTGTTTTCTAGTCACTAATAATAAGAGAAACTAAGAGCTGACAGAACAAACCATTTCCCCCCCAGCAGAGAACCACATTATTGTTGAAGATGAAAGCAATCGTGGTGACCGTAATGTAGCTCCGTATTGTAATATTATTGTACTCAGACTGAATTATCGTACTCAAGGAATTTATGTTATCGTATTTTGTTTACATCACCTGTGGGACTTAGCGTAATGCATGTATGAATTCTTTAAGTGATTCATGTTTCATTTTTTATTTACCCTGATAACTGAAACTGACAGACCTGACACATCTTTCTGCCAGACGTCTTAGGTTAGGTTAGGTTAGGTTAAATCTCTCTCTCTCTCTCTCTCTCTCTCTCATAATTAAGGTTGGACGGCCGATACCAATATATACACTGGTACATCCTGATATAATATTGATACCTTGGCTCCAGTGGTGATATAGTCATAGTGAAATACTTATACACTTTCTTGGATTTATTAACACGGAATTAAATGATTGTTTATAGTGAGTTGGTTCCCTTAGACTCTTGTATGTATGTGTGTATGTATGTATGTATGTATGTATGTATGTATGTATGTATGTATGTATGTATGTATGTATATTATATACTGTATGTATAAATTTCATTGAAAATTAAGCACTAAAATAAAACGAGCAAAAATTACTTAAAGAAAAAAAAAAGGTTGAGAAATAATATGTGAATCTTGTAAAGTCAACATTTTATTACATCCAAAAATAACAAGAAATAACAAGGCATCTTCTTTATGACTCGGATTTAGTGATAACCTGAAAAAAAGGTAAACAAAACGATAACATTATGGCGACGATTATTACTACAGGACATTTTGTTTATTTACATTTTTTAAGAATAGATTGATGACATTTTGTGTTTTCATTGACGTCGTCTTTGTTATGATGATATAGTGATATAGTAATGTTTATATTTAGGACATGTAAGGCAGATTATATAGTTAAAACAGAAGACGAGATATACTTACCACCACCACCGCCATATCCACCCCCATCGCTATAGCCGCCACCACCGCCATATCCACCCCCACCGCCATAGCCGCCACCACCGCCATAGCCGCCACCGCCACCGTATCCCCCACCGCCACCACCATGTCCCCCGTATCCGCCTCCACAATCACAGTGCCCTTTGCCTTTCCCGTAGCCACCCTTCCCATGTCCTTTTCCGTAGCCGCCGCCGCCACCGTAGCCATCACCATAACCGTCATCGTAGCCGCCACTAGACCCCTTATAGAACGTTGGTCTGGGTCTAGGCTCTGCTTGCACTACACCCATCATCATCACCACCATCACCACCACGGCTGCTAGTAGGAGTCTCTGTGGTGGAGATAACAGCTAGTAAGAGATCGTGGATGTTGGAGATAGTTAGTTGATGCTAGTTTAGAGAGATAAAACAAGACTTAATAGGTTAGTTAGATAGTTAACGCGTGAAAATACAATCAAGAGTTTGTTAATGGAATAAGATACTAAATATTAACTTAATCAACAATTATAAGTTATATTGATTGATCTTGTGCACATAGCTCCTCTAGGCCCCGTTATGGGTCGACAACCGGAGCTCGGGTGTGGTATTCCACGTAAAAAAAAAAAAAATAGTGCAGGTATACAGTGGGTATAGACTGTAGGCCTACAGGTATGCAATTTACATAGACCGTGTAGGTATATAATGTACAACAACGGACAAATTTCACTGGATACTTGTCTGGCGTGTACTGTAAGTGCTGCAGGATCATGAGGTGAGACGAGTTGAAATTTTAAAGTATTTTCTAAGAATTTCATTTGTATTTAAATCATCGTACTCAGAGGTTAGGTTATAGTACTTAAGGGATTAAATCATCGTACTCAAGGGATTACATCATAGTACTCAAGGTGTTAAATCATTGTATTCAAGTGGCTAAATCATCGTACTCAAGGGATTACATCATCGTACTCAAGGTGTTAAATCATTGTATTCAAGGGGCTAAGTCATCGTACTCAAGGATTCTCAAAATTTACCCCCAGGTCAGTTGAAATGCAATTAACATCTTCTATCAGTTCACTGTTGGATAGACACCCACGCCTGCCATGTAACCTTAACCTCCCGTCTCGAGACAATCTTACACAGTAAACACGGATACTCACCATACTGAAGGCCGTGTTGGTCCTTCGGAGGGAGATGAGGAACTGATGCCCTCCACACGGCCGACGTCTCTTATATAGGGGAGATGGACTACGGCAGCGATGACTTCATGCAAACAATGAAAATAGTTCAGGTGCATTTTATTAAGGAAATCGTCCATCAATCACTTACCATCCGTGTAAATCACATTTCACCTCTAGAATCACCATCACTCACCGCTGACTCCACCCCGTGTTTGGTGCTGCGTGATGATGGTGAAAACCCAGCAAGAAAGTATTGGATATAGTGAGTTCGTAAATATGAATCTGGATATATTGAATATTAATTTATTCATTTTATCCCGTGTTAATAGTAGCGTTAGTAAGGGACAGATTTTAAAATATTCTAAAAGTTTATTTTTTTTTTCAGTTTTTTATTGATATATTAATAAAGGACAAACAGATAGCAAGAACATGGTTATGATATAATCGTAAAATTTGTTCAAGACTCAAAGATTCGTATGTTATCTATATTTCCTTATTACAGGATAGTAAAGAGAACGCATTACTGTAGTTACGTCTTAACGCAATTTTGGATATCATTTTGAGTCCTATCTGCGTCGTTGGTCCAGTGACGAAAAATGAGTCCAAGGAACTTTTAAGAATAGGTTCCCTTGCTTAAAAAAATGTCGTATCTGATACAACCTCTTATGGTCTCTGGCAAGATTATCGCCCGAGTCCTCCTAAACAGACTTCTTCCTGAGGCGGAAAATTCCTCCCAGAATCTCAATGTGGCTTTAGACCATCACGTGCCACTACTGACATGATCTTTGCTGCCCGCCAGATACAGGAAAAGTGCAGAGAACAGCATCGTGACCTGTACGTGGCTTTCATCGACCTGAGCAAGGCTTTCGACTCGGTCAACCCTCAGCCGTTTTGGCTGCCCACCAAAATTCATCGCCATTGTGAGGCAACTCCAGGATGATAATGAACGGCAGTGTCCTGCACAACGGCACCCACTCAGAGTTCTTCCCTCTCCAAACAGGGGTTAAATAAGGGTGTGTACAGGTACAAACTCTCTTTTCCATTTTCTTGGTTGCCTTCCTTACTCGTGCCAGTGCCAATTTAGCCAGCGGGGTGAACATTGAGTACCGGGTGAAGGGGGGTCTTTTCAACAAAATGCAACTCCAGGCAAGAACAAAGGTGTCGGCAGCTTCCATTACTGAGCATCAGTATGCAGACGACCTCACCCTTGTTGCTCACACTGAACACGACCTACAGGAGATCCTGAACACCTATGCAGACGCGTATGCACACTTCGACCTTGAGGTGAATGTACATAAGACTCAGATTCTCTTTCACCCTGCCCCTGGTTCAGCCACACCTCCACCATCCATCCAGCTTAACGGTACTACCCTCTCTAATGTTGACCACTTTCGGTATCTCGGCTCCCACTTGTCCACCACCGCGGACATAGATGAAGAGATTCATAATCGGATCAGATGTGCATCTCAAGTCTTGGGCGGACTCCGAAATCGTGTCTTCAGCTGTAGGGAGCTGAAATTATCCACAAAGCTGCACGTATATCGAGCAGTGGTCCTCCCCACCCTGCTATATGGCAGCGAGACATGGGTCACATACAGGAGGCACATAAATGCACTTGAAAACTTTCACCAACGTAGTCTATGTTCCATCCTCCGAGTTCGCTGGGAAGACAAGAGAACAAATGCCAATATTCTTGCTGACACCAACTGTAGGAGCATCGAGGCTACCATTATCCGCGAACAACTACCCTGGACTGGCCATGTTACTCGCATGGACGACAGTAGACTGCCAAAGCAGCTAATATACAGTCACTTAACGAATAGAAACGTAATGCTGGCGGGCAACTGAGAGGTATAAGGATAGTCTTAAGACAAACCTGAAAAAGTGCCAAATAGACCCCCTCACCTGGGAGACGATTACTCCACACAGTAATGCTTGGAGGAGCACCACACAAGAAGTGTCAATACTTTCGAGTTAGCCTGACTGCATAACGAAGCAGACAAGCGCCAACGCTGGAAAGACGCCGTCGCCCCCCACACTTTAATAACTCTTTAATAACTCATCATTGTATCTTAGCTGGATGATCGTCATATTTCATTCAGAGTGACAGCATAGTAGTAATAGTATGTGTGTGTGTGTGTGTGTGTGTGTGTAATACTACTACTACTACTACTACTAATAATAATAATAATAATAATAATAATAAACGGTTTATTAATAGAGTTGCAGCCGGTGGCTGAAAATATACAGACTTACATTTGATTTAGACAAAATGATATAATATGCATTGAATACATTTACAGGGCTGTACAGTACATAAATCAGGAGTTGTTTATTATTTTAAGAATAGATGGGATGGTGCTATTCTTATATCTATCGGTGCGGGCTCTTATGGGCTGAATTTTGTTGTAGTGGCGGACTGCGCGAGTGTGGGTGGGGGGCTGCAGGTGGCAGGAGGTGTCGATGACGAGGGTGGTGTATTAGTTGGCTGCCAAACCTTTCCAGTGCTTGGTGGTAGAGGTCACTGGGGGATGGCATTTCCAGGGTGGAGAGAGCGTTGGTGTAGCCGGAGTATTCTGCGCCGAGCATGATTCTGCAGGCCCTTTTCTGTACCTTCTCTAGCTGACGTTGTTGGGTGGAGTTGAGGGAAGACGACCAGGCTGGTGACGCATATGTTAGTTTGGGTGTGTGTGTGTGTGTGTGTGTGTGTGTGTGTGTTTGTGTGTGTGTGCATGTGCTTGTGCTTGTGTGAGAGAGAGAATATATGAATATGCATGTTTTTCAGCAATGTGTGTATTCGTATAAATAAAGATAATACTGATAATAATAATGATTAATGTTTATTGAAAGAACGTGGCCACCAAATGGCTGATAATATAGAATAAACAGAGATGCTCGAAGTTACATTGAGGAGTGGGTCACTAAGATAACAAAGAGCTTTCAGTTCAAAAAGAAGAAACATGAAGTGAACATATTGTACAAGTTAACCATTGATCTGGCAGTGTTCTGAGTGTTTATAAAGAAGTCGGTCCTGTAAGCTGTTTTATCAGTTGTTAAGTGACACCGCCAGGACTCTGCCAACAGAATCCCACAGTTTTACATATGCGATTACCAATAGGTGTGAGGAACAACTCTGGTCACTGCCTCAAATGATCAAAACGGGCACAAATTTCACACCCATCACGTGGTAGGTCTTCCCATCTCACTCAGGGGGTTGGAGAGAGTTGTTGTTTCTCATCTGATGTACCTGAAAGCTTTGGTTTCTCATTCGGTGTTCGTGAGGTCTTCGGCGTAGGAGTCTAAGACCTGGCTGGTGAGATCTACATTACATCAGCCGTGACCACTGACCACTAACTTATAAGAAATTTACTTTGTCCAAGACTTCTTTACATTCTTTTTGAGTTGAAATTGTTACTTTTGTGTATCAGTTGTGAGTTGATGGTCAATCTATTCCCTGTATTGTTGGTGGGAGGATGTAATAAATATTGGTGAGGAGGAGATGGAAGAGGGTAGAGGCAAAGGCGGTAATGAAAGCAGCACCTAGTGTGTCTTTATCCTGTGTGTGTGTGTGTGTGTGTGTGTGTGTGTGTGTGTGTGTGTGTGTGTGTGTGTGTGTCATAGTCGATTCCGAGTGACAGCAAAGTAGTAGTAGTGTTTGCGCCTATGGTTATAGACATTGCATATATATGTATACATTACTATACAGTATATGCAGTATGATGGGTGAATTTATGTGTATATATTCTTACATAGTTCCATTTATATATACTGTAGTGTATATACAGTATATTTAAGTGACAAAGTAAGTAACAATCTCTCACGTATATTTATTAAAGGTTGTAACAAGAAGACATCAAATATTGGTAAAACTTTATTGAACAAACATCAACAATAAACAACCGGGTATTGTTATGACTCCGGCCTAGTGGTAACCTGCAACGAGAAATAAAACATTAATTATTTTCCTATATGTTAAAATTTATCATTATTTCAATTTAGAATATAGAATTACCTGTATTTTTTGTAATTTTGCTTTAATTAGGGATTCTTACCTTTACCTTTCCCATATCCGCCACCACCATAGCCGCCATGTCCACCACCATAGCCTCCACCGCCATATCCGCCACCGCCGTAGCCACCATGTCCACCGCCATATCCACCTCCACCACAGTCACAATGCCCTTTTCCAGATCCTTTACCATATCCTTTGCCATGTCCCTTGCCATAGCCGCCACCGCCATAGCCGCCACCGCCATAGCCGCCATCATCACCATAGCCGCCACCATATCCACCACCTCCCTTGTAGAATGTTGGTCGTGGTCCTCCTTCAACTAGCGCCACCATCACCACCACCACCACGCCTGCTAGTAGGAGTCTCTGTGAGGGAGATATTTACTTGAAAATACTAGTTACACTTAACGCAAACTTTCAGTAACAATATTGATACTAGTTATACCTCTGACACCTTTGAGGTTACGATTACAGCTAGTTAGTACACTGTGGTGTTAACTAGTTAGTACACTGTGGTGTTAACTAGTTAGTACACTGTGGTGTTAACTAGTTAGTACACTGTGGTGTTAACTAGTTAGTACACTGTGGTGTTAACTAGTTAGTGCACTGTGATGTTAACTAGTTAGTACACTGTGGTGTTAACTAGTTAGTACACTGTGGTGTTAACTAGTTAGTACACTGTGATGTTAACTAGTTAGTACACTGTGATGTTAACTAGTTAGTACACTGTGAAGTTAACTAGCTAGGACACTGTGATGTTAACTAGTTAGTACATTGTGGTGTTAACTAGTTAGTACACTGTGGTGTTAACTAGTTAGTACATTGTGGTGTTAACTAGTTAGTACACTGTGGTGTTAACTAGTTAGTGCACTGTGGTGTTAACTAGTTAGTACATTGTGGTGTTAACTAGTTAGTACATTGTGGTGTTAACTAGTTAGTACACTGTGGTGTTAACTAGTTAGTACACTGTGGTGTTAACTAGTTAGTACACTGTGGTGTTAACTAGTTAGTACACTGTGATGTTAACTAGTTAGTGCACTGTGGTGTTAACTAGTTAGTACACTGTGGTGTTAACTAGTTAGTACACTGTGGTGTTAACTAGTTAGTACACTGTGATGTTAACTATTTAGTGCACTGTGGTGTTAACTAGTTAGTACACTGTGGTGTTAACTAGTTAGTACACTGTGGTGTTAACTAGTTAGTACACTGTGATGTTAACTAGTTAGTACACTGTGATGTTAACTAGTTAGTGCACTGTGGTGTTAACTAGTTAGTGCACTGTGATGTTAACTAGTTAGTACACTGTGGTGTTAACTAGTTAGTACACTGTGTGTTAACTAGTTAGTACACTGTGATGTTAACTAGTTAGTACACTGTGATGTTAACAAGTTAGTACACTGTGGTGTTAACTAGTTAGTGCACTGTGATGTTAACTAGTTAGTACACTGTGGTGTTAACTAGTTAGTACACTGTGATGTTAACTAGTTAGTACACTGTGGTGTTAACTAGTTAGTACACTGTGATGTTAACTAGTTAGTACACTGTGATGTTAACTATTTAGTGCACTGTGGTGTTAACTAGTTAGTACACTGTGGTGTTAACTAGTTAGTACACTGTGGTGTTAACTAGTTAGTACATTGTGATGTTAACTAGTTAGTGCACTGTGGTGTTAACTAGTTAGTGCACTGTGGTGTTAACTAGTTAGTGCACTGTGATGTTAACTAGTTAGTACACTGTGGTGTTAACTAGTTAGTACACTGTGATGTTAACTAGTTAGTACACTGTGGTGTTAACTAGTTAGTGCACTGTGATGTTAACTAGTTAGTACACTGTGGTGTTAACTAGTTAGTACACTGTGATGTTAACTAGTTAGTACACTGTGGTGTTAACTAGTTAGTACACTGTGGTGTTAACTAGTTAGTACACTGTGAAGTTAACTAGTTAGTACACTGTGAAGTTAACTAGCTAGGACACATTAACTATTTATGTATATAATATTCACAATTTTTCTTCTTCAGGTTTCCAACTTAAAAATCAAAGTTAGTAAATGATTATACTTTGAAACATTGAATTCACAAACAGTAAACAGCTACGTGTGTGTACCATACTGAAGGTCGTGTTGATCCTCGGGGAGAAGACGAGAAACTGATGTCCAACACACGGCCGACGTCTCTTATATAGGCCAGGGGAGGTGGACCAAGGCGATGACGTCACACACCCTCTGAGGAAAATAATCATGAATATATTACGAAGCAAATAAGTCGTCAGTCAGCACTATACGTGTTAATCCTACCTCATCATGACCTTCCTTACCTCAAGTAATTTTTTTTTATAATCTTACGGGATTCTCAGATTTTCATAAGGTAAATTTTATCTTGTAATGTGCACACCGGAGTTTTCTTTGCTTTGAATATATAGACAAATTTATAGCCAATCAATCGTAATTTTATTCTGTGTTTTAATTATAGGATTGAACACCACACTTTACTTGGGTATAGTTTTAGTGTAATTTGGTCGCCATTTTGACACATATTTGTTACACATGTACAGTTAGGAAGAAATTTTAACGTAGGCGCCATTGGGAATCTGACTTGACATAACGTATTAAAAATATCGTCTCTGAAACATGTGTCTGGACGGTAAGATCAACGAACGCCATAACTAGCACTAAACAGCGTCTGGCAGTTCCTTTCACCTGGCATGTACCGTAAAATTAACGCCAGCACGAGCACTCAGGCTATACCGTAATAACAACGTATAGAGTAGCGTTCGTCTACCTTTCGTCAGCACTGGCGTTCACTTATAACTAACCTTAAGACTGACCCAAAGTGAACAAGATAAAATGTTCAATTTTTTCTTGTATCTGAGCTACTGTTTATAATGGTGGTCGACCATGGTGTTAATACACACTTGGTCTACAGTAAGTCTTATGGGCCTCATCACCCACGTCACACACACCACGAATGATGAAGTCAGACTCCATTAATGATGAAGTCAAACACGAATGATGACGTCAGACACCATATTTGATGATGTCAGACACCACAAATGATGACGTCAGACACCATATTTGATGATGTCAGACACCACAAATGATATGAGCCTCCATCTTAGCTACCACACACTGCCGTCCTTCAGAGTAAAGAACAAGAATCATCTGGGTGATATATCAGTTAAGTTTCAGCAAGACTCAACGACTGGTTTTGGATCACATGAAGATAAGTTCCCCTCCAGTTTATTTAACCTTAATATTGACCACCCTAATGCTAACCTAACCTAAAGTAACCTAATCTAACCTAAAGTAACCTAATCTAACCTAAATTGACCTAATCTAACCTAAATTAACCTCCTCTATCCTAAATTAGCCTAATCTAACTTGAATTAACGTAATTAACCCAAATTAACCTAATCTAAATAAATGACACAAGATAGCGTATTTGACCTTGCATATAAGACAGCATTGCACTTCATCACTAATGCTTCATGAGAAGTCCCAGATTTTTCACGTAGAAAATTATGTACTTAAATTGTCTTTCAAAAACTGGTTGTACATCTTATATTTTTTTATTGTTTTATTTCAGAAACATAATACAAAATAATGTATTAATTTTTCATTACGTATTGTGACATGACCTTTTGACCTTTTGACCTTATGACCCAAGAAGAGAAAAAGTATAGTAGGTATTATAGTAATTAATGAGCTCTGTTGAGGTCATTGGTATTTATTAACGTTCTCACCTTGACCCTTGTATAGTGAGTGACTTTTCAACACCAAAATCACACTGAATCTCGAGGTTCGTTATGATCACTATTACTGTCTAGTTTCAACACTGTAACACTTTTAATATTCTTCAGTTATACAGTCACAATACATACATACATACATACATACATACATACATACATACATACATACATGGCACTGGCCGCCCTACACGAGCTGCTCGGCGTCGGTGAGAGTAAATTAGAAATGTAGTTTGTTTATGTTTGTTGAGGGATTGTTTGTGTAGTGAGAAAACATTAGATTGGTGTTTTTATATGATGTGTGTGTGTGTGTGTGTGTGTGTGTGTGTGTGTGTGTGTGTGTGTGTGTGTGTGTGTGTGAAAGGAATTTGAATTTTACCGCGGACAGCACCTAGTTCATTGTACACCTTATACTCATCCTGTGAGCGGTAGAGCAAAAAGAGATTACAGAGTCAAATCCCACAAAGGGTGTTTATCATATTCCAGTGGTCAGGATATTATAGCAGTGAGTGTTACAGATTATGTCCAGTACATTGTTTCTTTAAGGTTCTAGTTTTTCATAATCTAAGACGTAGTGTTGTAGTGTGCAGCTTCATGTCTGGCCACACACTTTACATTTAGTTTTCTTCACATCTGCTTGAGGGACATACTGCTAGAGGTACTTATATCCTAACCTTAGTCTAGCGGTTACAACATCTTGTAATCTAGTGATCTTGTTACTTGCTCCATATACACGTTTCACTTGATACATCTCATCATGGTAAACAATGGATTGACTTGTGCTTGTTTGCACTTGTCTACTTGCTTCAAATTTACCCGAACGCTCTTTTTTTATTACAGTTTTTAATGTTCTGTTTGACAGTCCCAGATTGTACTCAACATTGTCATTGTTGGACGTGAGTTTAGCTAAGGCATCAACTCTATCATGTTCACTAATGCCTATGTGAGACGGGATCCACAGCAGCTTGATCCTGATACCTCCCGTCAACAAGGCACATACTGTATGCTTGTGTCTGGCCTCAGAGACAAGCGGGTGACAGACACTCTGAGTTAAGATTATCAAGAGCAAGTAGTGAGGATAAGGAGTCAGTGGTGATGAGACTGTCAGTGGCAGTTTCTTCAACAAGTTTCAGGGCTGAGTATGGCAAATAGTTCAGTCTGGAGAGTGGATGACCAGTTACTGATTCTAGTTCCTTTCTCTATTACATTACCGTTAGGCTGAGTCGCAAAGACAGCACTTCCAGCCCCCCCACAGACAGTGTTAAGAGAACTGTGTGATGTTATGTTTCTGTTTGTAAGTTATGTATGGATGTGTTCAAGAGCTCTCACTTTGCCAGTGTGTTGGAGATAAGGATTATGTGTGGTCAGTTGTTTAGGCGGGTACGTGGGTGGAAGGAGACGCTGCTGTGTTTCAGCTTTGTGTATATATATATATATATATATATATATATATATATATATATATATATATATATATATATATATATGTGTGTGTGTGTGTGTGTGTGTGTGTGTGTGTGTGTGTGTGTGTGTGTGTAATAATAATAATAATAATAATAAACGGTTTATTAATAGATTTGCAGCCGGTGGCTGAAAATATACAACTTACAGTACATGTGATTTAGACATAATAATATACGCTCAATACATGTACAGGGCTGTACAGTACATAAATCAGGAGCTGTTTATTATTTTAACATTAGATGGGATGGTGCTATTCTTATATCTATCAGTGCGGGCTCTTATGGGCTGAATTTTGTTGTAGTGGCGGACTGCTCGAGGTGGGTGGGGGACTGCCGGTGGCAGGAGGTGGCGATGACGAGGATGGTGCAGTAATCCACTGCCAAACCTTGCTAGTGCTTGGTGGTGGAGGTCACTGAGGGCTGGCATTTCCAGGGTGGAGAGAGCTTGTTGTAGCCGGAGTATTCTGCGCCGAGCATGATTCTGCAGGCCCTCTTCTGTACCTTCTCTAGCTGACGTTGTTGGGTGGAGTTGAGAGAACACGACCAGGCTGGTGACGCATACTTTAATTTGGGGAGAACAAAAGCGTTGTAGATAGTCTTCAGCTCTGGCGTGGGTGCCCCAAATGACCTGAGTCGTCGTAGCATGTAGAGTCGGTACAAGGCTGCCTTGATTGAGTTGTTTACATGGGCCTTCCAGTCCAGTTTGTGGTCTATGGTAACACCCAGGAGTTTGGCAGACTGCACTAACTGGAGAGGATGGGCACCCACTGTGACTGCTGGGGTTTGCACTGGAGTGGTGGCGGTATTGATGTGCATGACTACGGTTTTGTGTGTGTGTGTGTGTGTGTGTGTGTGGTTTAACGATATCAAAAATAAGGTTTTTAAAACAAATAAAATTACAATATCAACATTTTATTACTTAAAATTAACATAACATAACTGATAAATGTAGTAGTAACTCCTTTTAGTGATAACCTGAAAAAAATAAGATGATTTTTACTACAATATTTCCAAAAAAATTAATTTGTATAATACATTATAATTATATAGACAATTATAGAATCACCTGAATATTACCACCTCAGGTTATTTCACCTGATGATTAATTACCCTAACTTTACCTGGGAGACTAATTTAAGTTAGGTTAGGTTAGCGTTAAGGTGGATAGTGTTAAGGTGTTATAAACTGGTGGGAGAATCTCTGGTGATTTCATGACTAATTCCTTCAACAATGCAATATTATTATTCACTGTTTGATGAATTCTTAAGACAATTAGTATTATTGTTTTGGGAAATAGTATTAACAAATATCTAGTCGAGATTCTTACCACTGTCACCATATCCACCACCGCCATAGCCGCTGTCACCATATCCACCACCTCCATAGCCGCTGTCGTAGCCGCCACCGCCATAGCCACCATGTCCACCACCATAGCCTCCACCACCGTAGCTGCCATGGCCGCAGTCACAATGCCCTTTTCCAGATCCTTTACCATATCCTTTACCATGTCCCTTGCCATAGCCGCCACCACCATAGCCGCCATCATCACCATAGCCGCCATCATCACCATAGCCGCCACCATATCCACCACCTCCTTTGTAGAATGTTGGTCGTGGTCCTCCTTCAACTAGTGCCACCATCACCACCACCACCATGCCTGCTAGTAGGAGTCTCTGTGAGGGAAATAATTGCTTGTAGGAGTCTCTGTGAGGGAGATTGGTGCTAGTAGGAATCTCTATGAGGGAGATTAGTACTAGTAAGTGCTAGTTACACTGACCTCAGATTGGCAGTAACAATATTGGCGCTAGTTAATCTACACTCGTGAAAATATAAATATCACTTAGAGAAATATTTCAGTATTTTAACGTCTTGAGAATGATGACTTAACCCTCTGAGTACAATGATATACTCAAAGGAAAGTTCATCATATTCAAAGGGTAGAGACATGGGGTTAAACCACTGTACTCATGGAATTAAACCACTGTCCTCATGGAATTAAACCACTGTACTCAAGGAATTAAATCACTGTACTCAAGGAATTAAACCACTGTCCTCAAGGAATTAAACCACTGTCCTCAAGGAATTAAACCACTGTACTCAAGGAATTAAACCACTGTCCTCAAGGAATTAAACCACTGTCCTCAAGGAATTAAGACATGAGTTATTAGTGACTATCTTCATTAATAGTACTGTAACCTCTGACATGATAGTAAACAAACGTAATGGCGACGCTTCGTAGGCCTATGAAAAAATCTCACAATTTTCAAAGTTTACATTTTCTCTACTTCCCAACCTCCCACGTCACTGAATTTCCTCTATAAGTATTGAAAAAAACACACTTAAGTCAAGATCCTGTCCAGATAAAAACAATAATAATAATAAAGTAGCAACGTCTCCAAAACCTGTGTCAAACTCTCTTACTGGACTCACCATATTGAAGGTCGTGTTGATCCTCGGGAAGAAGACGAGGAACTGATGCCCAACTCACGGCCGACGTCTCTTATATAGACCCGAGGGAGATGGACCAAGGCGATGACGTCACACCAAGAGTGAAAATATTAGGGTATATTAGAGTTAGCAAATCAGTGAGCACCAAGGCGATGACGTCACACCAAGAGTGAAAATATTAGGGTATATTAGAGTTAGCAAATCAGTGAGCACCATCCGTATAAACGAGTGACCTGCTCTAGAATCACCATCACTTACCACTCGATGTTTGGTGATAATATGTTGTGTCTTGGCTGGCAGCGTGGAAGTGACTGTCTCCCATTGATTTTTAAAAGACTGTTAGGTTTTAGTAGAGATGTATTCAGTAAAAGAGAGAGATAGAAAGATAATATTTTTAGCTAACGCAATTATAGAAATAAACCAGAGAGAGAGAGAGAGAGAGAACGAAGAAAAAAGAAAGAAAAAAGAGAGGAAATGAAAGAAAAACATAACGTAGAAAAAGAAATAGAGAGATAGTGACTCATTTTAGCCAGTTCCGGTAGAAACCAACACACACACACACACACACACACACACACACACACACACACACACACACACACACATTATCAAAGCTTAATCACAACAAAGGTTTTTTTTATTATGGTTAGTTTCTTGTTGTTTACAGATTCTCTTTAGTTTCCCTCGTGTTAGTTATGGCACACCGAGCAACACTGCCAATGACCTCGATAATTACGGTGATGCAGGTGTCTCTCTCTCTCTCTCTCTCTCTCTCTCTCTCTCTCTCTCTCTCTCTCTCTCTCTCTCTCTCTCTCTCTCTCTCTCTCTCAATAATAATAATAATAATGATGATGATGATGATGATGATGATGATGATGATGATGATGATGATGATGACGATGATGATGATGATGATGATGATGATGATGATGACGATGATGATGATGATGATGATAATGATGATGATGATGATAATTACAATGATTGTGAAGATGTTGAACGATTATCATCCTGCCATTACCAATAACCTTTGTGTCTAACCATGATGGAGCCTCACCATTCCCAAACCTCATGGTAGCTATATTTTCTTCTTGTTGACATAAATTGACCCACCATGAATTTATGTTAATTAATATTCCCAGTTCTACCATACTATACCATGCCCATCATCACCACCACTACCATTGTCACCATTAAATTGGCTATCATTATTACCATCACTACCCTAATAACCATCTTGATAACTATAGAGGTAACATGACCACCATACACTCGTTAACTAAGGTAAAGTCACTACCATGAAACTCTTTAATCAATATACACATTAAAATCAAATGACCTGAAGTACCACTGAAAATAAAACAATATCACTTTATGACGTCAGAATGAGGTATAGGAAGCAAGAGGTTTAACGTCGTTGCCCTACCGCTCATCCGACTCAGAGCAGCCAACAACGTGTGGCCGAAGAGCATTGTAAACACAGGTAGAATAAAAGATTTATTTATTCACGCGATAACAGACGCGGGTGATTGGTTATATTGTACGTACACAACTAAGAATAACACCTCTCTCTCTCTCTCTCTCTCTCTCTCTCTCTCTCTCTCTCTCTCTCTCTCTCTCTCTCTCTCTCTCTCTCGTATTTATACAGTATTACCTGTACTTGTATCAATACCTGTACTTGTATCATTACCTGTACTTGTATCATTATACTTGTAATACCTGTACTTGTATCATTACCTGTACTTGTATCATTACCTGTACTTGTATCATTACCTGTACTTGTATCATTACCTGTACTTGTATCAATACCTGTACTTGTGTCAATACCTGTACTTGTGTCATTACCTGTACTTGTATCATTACCTGTACTTGTATCAATACCTGTACTTGTATCATTACCTGTACTTGTATCATTACCTGTACTTGTATCAATACCTGTACTTGTATCAATACCTGTACTTGTATCAATACCTGTACTTGTATCATTACCTGTACTTGTATCATTACCTGTACTTGTATCAATACCTGTACTTGTATCAATACCTGTACTTGTGTCATTACCTTTAAGCCTCGTTTCCAAGGCTTCACCCCTGAATGCCACAAGTCCTGAGTATATTACATAAACAATTGAAGATCTATTGACGTGGGGTTGACACTGAGACAAATTACTCAATATAGGTCACGTTCCATCCTGCCCCTCGCCTCCGCCCTCCCCCCTACCCCCTGCCGCCAGTACATTCAAAACAAAACATTCTACTTCAACTCATAATATACCACTTAAGAGATATGTTTAAGGATATATAATTCTTTGAGAAGCCATAATAGACGGCCACTAAGACCTTACCAATAAGGGGAGAGGAAATATTGTTTTGATATCTGAGAAAATGACACAAAAATATATATGAATATCTGCACCTCACAAGGGAAGTCGGTGGTCAGTGATGGTGTTTCTTTGCGGTAAAACACTATGAATTAAGTGACGTTAATTAATGGCTGTGTTGCTTTTTAATATAACTAAATGTTTTCACAGTTGTAAATCTGTTTGTCTGTTTTACTCGGGATTATTTATGATTTACAGTTAATATGTATTATACTATTTAAGGGATAACCAGAAGATTAGCTAAGATAAACCCAGTTAATTACACATGATGAGAAACACCCAAACGCTTAACTTACCCTACCCTACCCTACCCTACCCTACCCTACCCTACCCTACCCTACCCTACCCCTTAAGGTATAGCATTAAACTATCTAATCCTCAGGTAAAATAAGCTATATTTAAGGCAGGTCTTGTTAAAATCTTCAAGTGCTCACATCTTTAGGAATTAAGATATAACTAGGTTCATTCTGTTAGCATTCCCTCACAGCGTATATAAATAAACTCTATAAAATAACAGGTAGTGCAGGTGTGGTGAGACTTACCTGCTTCATCAGTCATTAAAGGTGAAGTAGCCACCAGAAAAAAAAACCTTTGAATCATCCTTCAAAACATAACTATTGTCTGAACGTTAGTGTTAGGTGGAACTTTTGTATTGATGCATAACTGTATAACTGTTTGACTGGATAACTATAACTATATCTATATATCTGTATGACTAGATAAATATAACTGTATGACTGTATAAATGCATGATTACTGTATGACTGTATTAATATAACTGGAATACTGTAAACTGTATATCTGTATTACTGCATAAGTATAACTGCACAACTGTAAACTGTTTGAATGTATAACAGTACACCACAACACCTGCCATATTATCATACTTATTAATACTGATTAGTGCTGTTTAAAGTATAATTTCTAAAATACATTACAGAGGTGTTGCATTTTGTATTATTCTTCACCTGTATCTACTGTATTGTACTAAGTATAAATTATTATGCTTCATGTAAATACAATATACTTATAAACAACACATTTGATCTTCGTATTATATTATTTCTATTATATAATTACTAAGAACTCTTGGGATTTGTTTAACTCATATATGAAGGTAAATTATTTGGAAATATTTTCAGAAACATATTATTTTATGGTAAGATAAATTATTTTTTTTTTGTTGATTTTCTAACTAAATAGTTTTGAATATCAGAGGGTGTGTGACGTCATCGCCTTGGTCCACCTCCCCTGGCCTATATAAGAGACGTCGGCCGTGTAATGGACATCAGTTTCTCGTCTTCTCCCCGAGGATCAACACGACCTTCAATATGGTACACACACGTAGCTGTTTACTGTTTGTGAATTCATTTTTTCAAAGTATAATCATTTACTAACTTTGATTTTTAATTTGGAAACCTGAAGAAGAAAAAATGTGAATATTTTATAAATAGTTAATGTGTCCTAACTAGTTAACAAACACAGTGTACTAACTAGTAACACCACAGTGCACTAATTAGTAACACCACAGTGCACTAACTATTAACACCACAGTGCACTAACTAGTAACACCACAGTGCACTAATTAGTTCACCTCACAATGCCCCAATTAATTATAATCTTAACTTAAAAGGTGTAAGAGGTATAACTAGCTTCAATAGGGTAATGCTAGTTTGTGGTAAGTGTAACTAGCATTTCCTAGCATTTATCTCCCCTACAGAGACTCCCTAAGCGGGCGTGTTGGTGGTGGTGATGGTGGTGCTAGTTGAAGGAGAACCACGACCAACATTCTTTAAGGGTGATGACTATGGAGGCGGCTATGGTGATGACTATGGAGGCGGCTATGGCAAAGGACATGGCAAAGGATATTGTGATTGTGGAGGTGGATATGGCGGCTACGGTGGTGGATATGGCGGCTACGGTGGTGGACATGGCGGCTATAGCGGTGGACATGGTGGATACAGCAGTGGTGGATATAGCAGTGGATATGGTGGCTACGGTGGTGGACACGGCGGATACACAAGTGGTGGATATGGCGGCTACGGTGGTGGACACGGCGGCTACAGCAGTGGTGGATATGGCGGCTACGGTGGTGGACATGGAGGTTATAGCAGTGATGGATATGGTGGTGGACATGAGAGTCAAAAGAGACAGTATCAATGATGGAGGGCAAGTCAGCACTACTGTTGGATATGGTGATAGTGGACACGCTAATACTGGATACGCTGAAAGTGGACACGCCAACAGTGGACATACTGAGAGTGGACACGCTAATACTGGATACGCTAATACTGGATACGCTAATACTGGATACGCTGAAAGTGGACACGCCAACAGTGAACATACTGAGAGTGGACATGCAGACAGTAGTTATGCTGTTAATAGCAACTCTGGTAAGAATCTGTAATATAATTTGACCTATATTATGTCCTAAACACTAACCTAACCTAACCTAACCTAACCTGATCTAAAGAATAGTTATATTATTAAGGAAAGTATCAGGTGTTTCACTTTCTGGTAGTCTCGGAGTCTTTATAACATAATCTTGAATTATGATACAAGAAACGCGTAACAGACAGACAGACAGACAGACATTAGAATATAGCATCGAAAACATTACAGTAAATACATAGACACTTAAATATCATAAATAATGGCTATATTGATGATATTCTGAGACCACCATACATAAAAATATATTTACTGATATATAGAAGTGTATGTGTATAAAATAATGAACGTATTTTAGTGTAGTATATGTGTGTGTGTGGAAAAATTAGTAAAATTATTATTAAATTATATTGGTATGGTAAATTAGTGTGTTATAATGTACAGTATGTTAAGATAAAACATTAATTATTGTCTTGGATTATTTTTCAGGTCACAACTAAGGTGGAGTTAAGATATTTGTGGTGGTTATTGTTGTTATATGTGTAAATAAAGTATTGCTTGTTTATATCCGAGTGTTTTTTACAACCTGTGTGTATGTGTGTGTGTGTGTGTGTGATAGGAATATGTGATAGACGTACAGTATGAATATCGTGATAGAGAGAGCGAAGATATCTGTTAAATGTAACTTCTCAAAGGCCAGCTACAGGATGCTAATGTGTCATACGTGTGAGAACGGTTTAAGTGTCACCGTAGTGGTTGTGTTACTTGCTTGTTCTTGTAGTTTAGTCTGTTAATCACGTCGACAATATGATGATCACTAAGAGATGTGAAAGATGTATTCTCTTATAGTTAGAGGGACAGATAATATGATGGTCTCTCTCTCTCTCTCACCCTGTCCTTCCCTGTGTTACCGTACCCCTGCATGTGTCACCCTTACCCCTGCCTATGTCACCCTGCCCTTCATTGTGTTACCTTACCCCTCCCCTGTGTCATCCTGCCCCCCCTGTCTCACTGTGCTTCTTTCTGTGTCACCCTGCCCCTCTCTGTGTCACCCTTCCACTTCCTGTAACAGAGATGTGACCGACAGTCCAAGTATAACAAGTTAGCCCACACTTTATCCGTTTACTCATTTTTTGACACACGGTACTACAAGTTTGCTTCTTTTAAATATCTCTAGTTTGCCGGGAAATGAGAACCCTGTACTAACTCGTGTTCTTCATATGCCAAGCAAACAAAATGACATCCCACGTATTACAGTATTGAGAACCCCATCGTTTGTGTTATGTTTTGTGTGAGTTTTTTCCTTGATTTAATTGCAGACTATTGTATATATTACGTAATGAACCTAAAAGATTTTAATTGTCATTGTGGTATTTACTGTTATTTTCCCTATTTGTACTACCAAATGGGTTAAGTTATCTATCTGTCTGAATAATAAATAATTCACACTATTAATGGAAATTGGCTGTTGCATACGATGATAATCCCTTGGGTGTTATGTGTGAATGAACGTAAATTTTATACGCATGCCACGTCCATAGTTTTGATTACCTGAATTGTTGTTGAGTTTATATTTTTGTGAGATTATAATACACAGCATTTACTGCAGACACAACAGAGGTTTTCATTGTTCACTTGGAACCTTTTCATTCTGTTTACTTGTGTGGCAGTTCTATTTTATGCTGGTCCTGTAGATACTGATACCGTGGCAGAAATGTGTTCCTACACCTCCTGTGGTAACCCGAATCTCCAAACGGCAACGCCACATATAGGTTGGCTATTTGGAGACACGGGTTACCACAGGGGGTGTAGGAACTGTACCACTGAATATTATAAAACATTAACATAATAAAATCTCATATCCACCATGATCATTCAAGTGACGTTGCTTTGATTCGTTGAAGAAAGATGTACAGTAGGTTATCATATCTTGTCCGGGGAGCCACAGAACGGGAGGTAAGGAAAACACTTACAGGACAGTGACACATCAACGTAGCGTTTGGTGGTTCTCATTCTACCATCTTGTACGACGGACTGACTCCCAAATCACCTGATCAACACACAACACCAAATTTCAAGAACATCAGTGAAGGTGTTACAAATTACTCCGCCGGCTAGTGATAACCTGACTTTTTATGTGTTTATTCCAGTTACAATATAAAAGGTTTAGTTAATAAGATGACTAAAATTAACCAAAACGTTTATTTAAAAATATACATCTTACAAATCTTGTCTTAAATTTAATGATAACCTGAAAAAGAAGAAAAAAATATATATTAAAAAATGCACAACACAACACACGATAAAGTAAATTAGATTTGAATATTATCCAAAAATTAACAAACTTATTTTAATGTTCAGCCAAAATTGTTATCAAAATCACTGATATATTTGTATATATACTGTGGCCTTATAGTATATATATAACAATAAATACATATCTAAAACAATACTAAATATATAACACTATTTTGATACGGATTGTCAGTGAAATTCCTTACCATATCCGCCATGTCCCTTGCCGTAGCCGCCTCCACCATGTCCATAGCCGCCACCGCCATGTCCATAGCCACCACCGCCATGTCCTTGCCGTAGCCGCTCCACCATGTCCATAGCCGCCACCGCTATGTCCATAACCGCCACCGCCATGTCCATAGCCGCCACCGCCATGTCCCTGCCGTACCCGCTTCCACCATGTCCCCAACGCCACCGCCATGTCCATGCCGCCTCCGCCATGTCCAGAGCCGCCACCGCCATGTCCCTGCCATAGCCGCCTCCACCATGCCCATACCCGCCACCGCCATGTCCATAGCCGCCTCCGCCATGTCCCTTCCGTAGCCGCCACCGCCATGTCCATAGCCGCCTCCGCCATGTCCCTGCCGTAGCCGCCACCGCCATGTCCCTTCAGCCGCCACCGCCATGTCCATAGCCGCCTGCCATGTCCCTTTGCCGTATCCGCCACCGCCATGTCCCTTGCCGTAGCCGCCACCGCCATGTCCATAGCCGCCACCGCTATGTCCCTTGCCGTAGCCGCCACCGCCATGTCCCTTGCCGTAGCCGCCACCGCCATGGCCCTTGCCGTAGCCGCCACCGCCATGGCCCTTGCCGTAGCCGCCACCGCCATGTCCCTTGCCGTAGCCGCCACCGCCATGGCCATACCCGCCCCCATGGCTCTTGCCGTAGTCAGGTTCAGGGTCGGACACCACCAGAGCCACCACCAGCATCACCAGCAAGGCCACGAGGGCCACTCGCTGTAGGAGGGAAGCAGGAGGTTAATTACTCAGGTAGAACAACACAGGTGACCATCAACAGGTAAATTATCACATCATCTTCCTGCACCTGGTCTTATACTGTCATATACTACACATAGTCTTATACTGTCATATACTACACATAGTCTTATACTGTCATATACTACACATAGTCTTATACTGTCATATACTACACATAGTCTTATACTGTCATATACTACACATAGTCTTATACTGTCATATACTACACATAGTCTTATACTGTCATATACTACACATAGTCTTATACTGTCATATACTACACATAGTCTTATACTGTCATATACTACACATAGTCTTATACTGTCATATACTACACACAGTCTTATACTGTCATATACTACACATAGTCTTATACTGTCATATACTACACATAGTCTTATACTGTCATATACTACACATAGTCTTATACTGTCATATACTAAACATAGTCTTATACTGTCATATACTACACATAGTCTTATACTGTCATATACTACACATAGTCTTGTACTGTCATATACTACACATAGTCTTATACTGTCATATACTACACATAGTCTTATACTGTCATATACTACACATAGTCTTATACTGTCATATACTACACATAGTCCTATACTGTCATATACTACACATAGTCTTATATACTGTCTTATGCTGTCATATACTACAGTCTTATACTGTCTATACTAGTCTTATACTGTCATATACTACACATAGTCTTATACTGTCATATACTACACTGTCATATACTAGTCTTATACTGTCATATACTACACATAGTCTTATACTGTCATATACTACACATAGTCTTATACTGTCATATACTACACATAGTCTTATACTGTCATATACTACACATAGTCTTATACTGTCATATACTACACATAGTCTTATACTGTCATATACTACACATAGTCTTATACTGTCATATACTACACATAGTCTTATACTGTCATATACTACACATAGTCTTATACTGTCATATACTACACATAGTCTTATACTGTCATATACTACACATAGTCTTATACTGTCATATACTACACATAGTCTTATACTGTCATATACTACACATAGTCTTATACTGTCATATACTACACATAGTCTTATACTGTCATATACTACACATAGTCTTATACTGTCATATACTACACATAGTCTTATACTGTCATATACTACACATAGTCTTATACTGTCATATACTACACATAGTCTTATACTGTCATATACTACACATAGTCTTATACTGTCATATACTACACATAGTCTTATACTGTCATATACTACACATAGTCTTATACTGTCATATACTACACATAGTCTTATACTGTCATATACTACACATAGTCTTATACTGTCATATACTACACATAGTCCTATACTGCCATATACTAAACATAGTCTTATACTGTCATATACTACACATAGTCTTATACTGTCATATACTACACATAGTCTTATACTGTCATATACTACACATCGTCTTATACTGTCATATACTACACATAGTCTTATATAGTCTTTATTATATACACTTGTTGTCAACACTCAATAAAGTCACAGTTTTATTTCTTATTTAAACAAGTGACAACTGCCTCACTCCGTCACCACCTCACTAACACCTGACCAATGTTTAGATTAATGTTGTCAGGTGTTGGACATATTGTGTGGGGGAGGTCAAGTGTCCAACATGTGTGGAGGAGGTATAGTGTCCAACATGTGTGGAGGAGGTATAGTGTCCAACATGTGTGGAGGAGGTATAGTGTCCAATATGTGTGGGTGAGGTCTCGTGTCCAACATGTGTGGAGGAGGTATAGTGTCCAACATGTGTGGAGGAGGTAGTGTCCAACATGTGTGGAGGAGGTATAGTGTCCAATATGTGTGGGTGAGGTCTCGTGTCCAACATGTCTAGGAAAGGCTGTGTGTGTCCCACTCAACTATAGGCCTGGGTTGTTGGGTTAAGCTCTTTGGTATAAATATAAATAAAGTGGTAACTGTGTGGTACAACTTGGTTACTGTTAATATGTCATGAGCGGCCAGCGGGAGACGGTGATGGCAGGAGGAAACTTACCAGAGAGAAGGTCATGTTGCCTTGAGGGACGCCACAGAGGCACTGGATGCTGGTCCAGGTGGCACTCTGTTTATATACCGCCAACACCGCTCGCTATGCTACTCCTTCCTCCAAGGTGACACGCAGAGACGGTGGTCTATGACACAGGGAGGGGCAGGGTGACACAGGCAGGGGCGGGGTGACACAGTGAGGGGTAGGGTGACACAGGCAGCGGCAGGGTGACACAGGGAGGGTGACACAGGGGCAGGGGAAGGGGCAGGGTGACACAGGCAGGGGCGGGATGACACAGGCAGGGGCAGGGTTATCGATACAGGGAGAGAGATTATATGAAAGACAGGCATAAGGTAAGAGAGTAAGCACAGGAAGACGAGAGGCCAGGAATCACCGATATTTGAGGTGTGTGAAGGAATCCTAACTGGTATTCTAGCTAAGGCCAGACATATAGAAATGCAAGAGAATGTTAAACCTGTAGCGTAAACATTATTATAAGAAATAGGTTCCAAAACGAATCCTGACAAATGGTGAGATAATTTTCCCTGCTTTGTAATATATTGTATAATAAAACTTATATTCAAAACAAGTTACTAAAATATGAGAATAAATGTAAAATAAAGTATTATCACATCCACCATGAATATACCGATCTATAAACAGTCACACTGAGCCTTTAGTAAATTTTCCACACCACATATGCTTCAGTTTTCTCACGTCGTTGTTATGGTCGAGTGTGTATTATTACTGACAATATCAATGGTCGTTATAGGTCACCTCTCTGCCTCCTGGTATGGTGACCTTTGACCCTCTGTTTGATATTGTTTGGTGGTGGGTGTTTTTTTTGTGTGTATCCTTATGTGAAGCTTAGAATTATTATGTGATTCATCAGTAACTCAGATTCGTTTGATTTTCTTGACAATTAATATAATGTTGGTAGTAGATGTGTGTGTTTTGTTATTTCCTTTTTGAGAGAGAGAGAGAGAGAGAGAGAGAGAGAGAGAGAGAGAGAGAGAGAGAGAGAGAGAGAGAGAGAGAGACACTGTATATGTTACGAGGATGGTGTCAGGTGGACATTATCATCACAGGTAACTCCATGAGATAATCTTGTCCGTGAGTCTCGCCGCCAGTGTGTTTTTAGCCCATCTCTTGTACTGATGGAAGTCGGGTTTTTAATCGTCTTTTGTTTCTACAGTTTTTATTCTCCAGTAGTCTCTCATAATTACTACGGGAGGTAATCTACTAACAACTTATGTTCGGGGTCCCTTCTCTGCTGAATACAATTATCTGATATTAGCTTTATATATAAAAAAAAAAGTGGAGTTCCCGTAGAGAAGAGATTAATATATATTGGTAAACGACGCCTCCATCTCGTTTACTGAATCATAACCTCAGACTTAAATAATTTCAGTGATAAAGAAAATACTGAATTGTTTAGTGAAATATAGATGAAAATTTCTGTAGAAGTTTTACTTTATGTATGTGTGTTACGTATGCTTGTTCGTCTATGTGTAAAATATATGAAAAAAAAATAGTTACGTATTGTGATGAAAATTAGTAAGTGGATCAAATGTCACAAGGATATTTTATTTTGGTTTTGTAGGGAGTAGAACAGAGGTAAAATCCATTCCCACAACCACGAGATTCAATTCAATGATTCTGATGAAGATTGTAGAATAGATGAAGTATTGATCAATAGAGAAACGGAATATTTTTGGTGATGGTCTGTCAAAGGTGAGAGATTGTGACCACTGACTAATAATACTGCTGATGGTGACGCCTGGTAGGTTGGTCAGTAATGAACTAATTTTTGAGGACATGAGGAAAATAGTCAAGGTTACAGGTCAAGGTCATAGTGGTGAGGGAGGAGAGACAGACAAGCAGGCACAGAACACTAAATTCGAAATCCTCAATGTGTTACAGCTCCTTCAACAGAACCCTCAACCAGGGACATTTCACTGTTAGGTTCTCGGTGACGAAGTTCATATTCATTTTTCAGTGTCTCTTCCACGAGTAACCTGCTGGTGTAGCTTATTATTTGTGACTCAGATTTATTATCTCCACCAATGACCGCCACGACGTGTCTCAGCTGATACTGCACTTTCCTTAGTCACGCGTTTCATTTGGACTCCGTTTTCTTTCGTGAGCCGTACTGTGTTTTGCATGGCTGACTAAAGCAACTCGTTTCTCTCTATCATTCTGTCGCACGTGAGGCGGACCAATCCCACGTGCCGCTCCGCGTTATTTCAGTCAGGTCAGGGATTTGTGTAGCAACATACATCGTGAAATTAGTCATATTTCATTGTCGTTTGCGAAAAGCTACTTCAGCAAAGTGATATGAAACAGCAGAGTGAACTTAATTACTGACAATGTGCAACACAGAATACATTGCAATTAGACTCACTCAGCGATTCTGTTAAGATGCCTAACAAAAAAAAAAAAAACCAGACAGGTCGATAAATTATTAGACAGATAATTTTTTTCTCTCTGGCCGTCATTTCGTACGTAACAACATAGATAAATAATAACATTGACTTCAGGCTTTTTCCCACCACCCTTCTGTTAGTGTTTTTAGGCTTGGCGCTGTCCACATTCTTCACAGTCACGGTAGTAGACCTCGTGCCTTAATTACCATTTTAACAGACAATGGAATTTAACAAGAGAGAGAGAGAGAGAGAGAGAGAGAGAGAGAGAGAGAGAGAGAGAGAGAGGAAACGGGACAATAAAACAAATTAAAGAAAAGGTCAGATATGAAAGAGAGTTTAATAATGACAGAAAGTGAAAGAGAGAGAGAAAGGGAAAACAAAGCTTCACTAAAATAGAGAGATGAAAAACGTGATAGCTAATTATAGAGAATCGTTGTATGTAAGTCACAAAAAAAATCGAATTCTAGAGTTTTTTTTCTGTGTGTGTGTGTGTCTGTCTGTCTGTATGTGATTCGACCCATATTAATTCAAAGTTTAAACCATTCTACCCCAAAAGCAATATAATATACTGGTACGCTGGAAATAAAGTCTATACCAACAACAACAGTACCAGACACACATGAATTAGTCACCTTCCCACCAGTACCACCAGTACCAGGCGTTCACACCACAACTCAGGTGCCCAATGGTGCGTGGAGTGAAGGCGTCGTACTGCAGGAGACGTTGAACTACTGTAATACCAGATAGTGAAAGGAAACTGAAGGTGAATAACACTCAAGAAGAAGAAGGAAGAGGAAGACAACGATAAGAATTAAAAGGAAATAAGAAAACGAAGAAAAGGAAAATGATAATGATGATAAAAGAGAAAGAACAAAAACAGCAACTACATAAAGGAAGGGAAGATGAAGATGAAGAAGAGGTAAGAGCAGCCAGTAAGTTTTATCTATATATATATATTTATTACCGTCATATCTTACGACAATGAAGATGTGATGCTTCTTTCATTCTTTATTTTTGCGGTTTTCTGTTTTTTTGTGTGTTTTTATTTGAGACACTGAAGATTAAATGTTGTGTGTGTGTGTGTGTGTGTGTGTGTGTGTGTGTGTGTGTGTGTGTGTGTGTGTGTGTGTGTGTGTGTGTGTGTGTGTGTGAGCGTAACGGTAGAGTTGGGCTGGGTGACGTGTGATGGGGCATGTGACGGAGAGGTAGGTGACGGTGAGGCAGCAACAGAGAGACAGGTGACGGTGCAGAACAGAGACAGGTGACGGTGAGGCAAACAGAGACAGGTGACAGCAAGTAACAAAGAGACAGGTGACGGTGAGGCAAGTAACAGAGAGACAGGTGACGGTGAGGCAAGGCAACAGAGAGACAGGTGACGGTGAGGCAAGGACAGAGAGACAGGTGACGGTGGGGGCAAGTAACGGAGAGACAGGTGACGGTGAGGCAAGTAACAGAGAGACAGGTGACGTAACAGAGAGACAGGTGAGTAGGCACAGAGAGACAGGTGACGGTGCAAGTAACAGAGAGACAGGTGACGCAGGAGGCAAGCAACAGAGACAGGTGACGGTGAGGCAAGTAACAGAGAGACAGGTGACGCAGGAGGCAACAGAGAGACAGGTGACGGTGAGGCAAGTAACAGAGAGACAGGTGACGGTGAGGCAAGTGACAGAGAGACAGGTGACGGAGCGGCGTATAAACCCCTCACCCACGAACTAATCACCACCACTACACCCACCAAGACCAAACTATTTCGTGTTATTCCGTCGTTTCCTAGAGCAATGATCCCTCTTACTTTCATACCAAATTAAGAAATAACTTGGTTAATATTATGAGACCTCGAAGAGAACATTATTGGCAGGTACTTGTTATTAATTTAGTAAAGTGTTTATCGCCGTCATGGTCAATTCAGTGAAAATAGCAGATATTTTTAAAAGTATTCTGATTTTTTTGAAGTACTCTCCCCACTCTATTCCCAGGTCTCTCTGCACGTTACTGCATTATGAAACAAGTTATAAAAGGAAAATAATCTGGCAGCTTTCTCAGTAATGCACGTAAAGAAACTTTCTACTTTAGTTTGATTGAACATTACTCAATTATATAAATGTTATGCGCTATATTGATGATCACAGAGACTAATATGTTAACACACTGTGAAATAGGAGATGAACTGACAGTTCCAGAGAGACAACAGCTGCAAGGATCAAGTCTCACCCATGGATATTTTCTGTTTACAAATTTCTTATAAATATCTCGAAATTATGATGTAAATTTAGTTAATACACACCCCAACACCGAGATCCTCTACCGAGGGGATTTCAATGTACATCACTGAGAGTGGCTTGGCTCTCCAAGGGATGACCCAGGTGGAGCTGAGGCACTCTCTTTTTCCCTACTTAATTATCTGGAACAAATAATCAAACACCTTACACGTGTTCCTGATCGACACGATCAACTTGCTAACATTCTTGATCTTTGTTTTACCTCTAACCCCTCACACTATTCATCCTTAAATTCTGCCCCCTTAGGGTCTTCTGATCACAATCTTATTTCTATTAAATAAAACTGGGCACGACCACCTCCCCCACCCCCCTCTAAACGTCAACTATGGCACTATCGGAGGGCAAGCTGGCAATCCTTGCGAGAATTCTTCACCGACTTTCCTTGGGATGCATGTTGCTTTTCCACTCAGGACGCCTCGGTATGTGCTGACAGCATTGCTGGGGTTATACAGGGTGGTATGAGTGCATTTATCCCATCTTCTACCAAAACTTTCACTTTACAATCATGGTTTGATCGCTCCTGCTCTCTTGCATGCAAGGTGAGAGATAGGGCATATCAAGCTATGAAACTATCTCCTTCTCCTATTACCCACACCTCTTTCATTACTTCTAGGAATCGTTGTAAGGCTTTACTTCTTAGGGCCAAACGAAATTTTATGAAAAGAAAGAACGCTGTCCTGTCTAATTCTTCCTCTAGTTCATGTCTAACTAATCTATTAACATTCTTTTCATCAGTTTTCGAATCGGTGGACGAGGGGCACATTATGATGTGGTATATCTCGAGTTTAGCAAAGCCATCGACAGAGTCCCCCACGAAAGACTAATAAGAAAGGTAGAAGCACATGGCATTAAAGGTAATATTCTAAAAAGGATTAGGGTGTGGTTACAGGACAGGAAACAGCTAGTGAGCATTAACGGCACTAAATCCCATTGGAGCAACGTCACTAGTGGAGTTCCCCAAAGCTCAGTACTTGGACCATTATTATTTATTATATGTATAAACGACATAGATATCGGCAGAGACAGCAACATAAGCAAATTTGCTGATGACACTAAAATAGGACGTGTAATTAAATCTGACGAGGACTCCGCAAAACTACAGGAAGATCCAAAAAAATTTTCGAATGGTCTGAAAAATGGCAGATGAGATTCAACATGGACAAATGTAAAGTACTCAGTATAGGAGATGTAAACAGAGAAACCAGATACCGGATGAACAATGATGCCATTGTGAAATCCGACTGCGAGAGAAATTTAGGAGTAATGATAAGTAGGAATCTTAAGCCAAGTAAATGATGTGTTTTTGCTCGTAACAAGGCTAATAAAGTACTTGGGTTCATACAAAGGAGTGTTAGTTACAAGACTAGCGAGGTCATCTTAAGATTATATCTTGCACTTGTGAGACCTCACCTGGATTACACAGTTCAGTTCAGGTCACCGTGTTACAGAATGGATATAGAATCCTTGGAAAGAATCCAGAGGAGAATGACAAGACTAATCCCGGGCATTCTGAACCTTGAGTACAGAGACAGGTTAAAGCATCTTAATTTGCACTCCCTCGAGAGACGTAGAGCGGGGGGCGACCTGATAGAGGTGTATAAGTGGAAGTCAGGGCTAAACAAAGGGGACATTACAAAGGTACTCAAACTATCCAACCAGGAGCGAACTCGTAACAATGGTTTTAAATTAGACAAATTTAGATTTAGGCGCGAAATAGGTAAACACTGGTTTGGAAACAGAGTAGTGGATGAATGGAACAAGTTACCAAATGTCATCATTAACTCTAATAAGCTGGATAGCTACAAACATAGGTTGGATGTTTATATGAGCAATAGGGGTTGGGTATAAATGGGACTGCCCAGTATGGACCAATAGGCCCGCTGCAGTTTCCTCCATTCTTATGTTCTTAAGTTAAGTATGAGGAAATTATGAGAGAGAAAGAGATGAGATGAGTTTGCGAAGAGGAAGAAAAATCTTTCCCAATATTCATACACAAATATATAACACTACTTCTCACTACTGTGCATCAGACCTGAGTTTAAAAATATCCTACTCCAAATATCATCACCAAAAATATTCACCATAACAGCAAGAACGACGACCGTGTCACAATCGCTGTCTCTTGTGTCAAACTCGATGGAAACAACGACTATAGTTACTGTTGCTTCACCCTATTGTTATCTGTAGTGTCTCAGTTGATACAGTGTAAACAATAGGTCCATTCATCATCGCTAAGCCCTTGTACTGTCATTTGATCATTAACTCTAATACTCTGGATAGCTTCAAACATAGGTTGGATGGATATATGAGCAATAGGGGTTGGGTGTAAATGGGACTGCCCAGTATGGGCCAATAGGTCCGCTGCAGTTTCCTCCATTCTTTTGTTCTTATGTTAACCCTTTGAGAAACACGAAGTAAGCTTTGAAACACTTATGAACAATTATCTAAGCCTAAAAACGCCTATAGAACGACGAATTAAGCTTTAAACATTTGAGAACAATGGAAACTGGTCAGATATATTTAACACTTTTGGAATGATGGAATATTAAGCTTTAAAAACACATATGAATAATGAAACCTGTTCTGATTTACATTATAAATACACAAATAATCCAATAAAATTCAACATTGATTCATTTCTTGGTATACATTCACACCAAAATACCATAACATTAATAAATAAGATAAAAATGCCACAAAAATCAACTCTGAGTTAATTACAGTTACATTATTTACCTCAGAGAAATCAAGAATTGTTTCAAGTGATCGTGAACGAAATATTAATTTGGGAAGTGAGTAATTGTACCTGGAAGTAGTGTCCTGTAGAGAAGGTGATAATAATAATAATAATAATAATAATGATAATAATAATAATAATAATAATAATAATAATAATAATAATAATAATAATAATAATAATAATAATAATAATACTCTTGTTGTTCAAAGTTTCACAGGAGTTAAAATTTCATTATAATACAAATTAAATAAATATTATTTGTTCTTTTTGTTATTTATTTTTTTATTTTATTCGTATTTCTATATTTTTACCTTTTGACATTTACAAAAAAAATTCTTCTATTATTGTTTTTGTTCAGCTGATTATTGTCTTTATTGTTATTGTTTAACTGTAAGAAAATAAAAGTTCTAGTGTTTATGGCTTATAAAACAGCTTGTTGTAATACTTATGAAACCTTCAGTTATTAAAGCACAGTTATAGCATCACTAACAAATACTAGGATGTGTATGAAGACTTACACCCGTATAGCCGTAATGCATGAGCCCTTCTGTAGACCTGCAATGGATACGTGGACAAGATATATTTTAATAAAGCCACACAGGAAAAGGGAAACACTGGAGCACCTTAGCTTTCGACTATATTCCAGAAATCTTTAGAGGCAAATGAATTTACAGGGACTGAGAGAGGCTTATATACAACATATAACATGAGGTCAGGTGAGGTCAATAAAATGGGATCCACTAAACCACCTCCACCGCAAACGAAAGAAGAGCTTATAATACACGGGCGACGTAACAGGATGTGCGTGGGTGTACGTACGTGTGTGTGAGTGTGGCGTCCATTGGTGGAGTCAGTATTGAGGCATCAGCTGTGTTGACACCACCTGTAGCGTCAGCTGGTTGATATCCCACCATCCAGGCAGACATTTCCAGTTTTGTGCTTCCTCTCAGGGGCTTCCAGGCACCTAGAGCATAGAGGGCGTGTTGTGAGGAACCTACTGGAGGCTCCATTCAGGTGGTGGAAGGTATGACACCCTGGAAATATTGTGGCAAGAAACATTTCTGTTAAGTGATAAGTGTCGTGGCGGGCTATCTTCAGGTGTTCTTTAGGTTCAGAGAAATTGTTACCCATTTTTTCTTCATATTTTTTGTACGAAGTGAAAGGATTTGTCGTTATCTGGTGAATGTTTGCAGTTTAGATAAAGGTTAGAAATTGTTTACAAATGTTGTTAGGCATCACTAAATGGCGGCAACATCGTAACCGGATGTTGTAAATGAAAGGTGCCATGTCTTAAATAATTTAACCCGTATATATTAACACATGACATTTATTATTATTAGACACAACACAACAAGATAATAATGAGTCTGTTTATACATCTGATTCCCTGTAGAGATGATCTAATATGTTAAATTAAGGCTTTTAACAACTAGAAAGTCAGTGAAGGTCAACAGCATGCCTGGGCCTGGCTATCCCACCAGTATTCAGTATAACAGGTGAAGAGGGAGGAAGGATTTGAGTGTAATCCATTAACACAACCACATCGCGTTGTGTCCCTTTATCAACAAATTATTACCATTGGCTCCCATACACATCTTTTTTTTTCTCTACGGCTCGTCTCTGATTGGTTAGATAATTTAGCCACTCAGACGCTACCAGTCCGCTAATGGATACCTGTTGTTATCAGTATGACAATAGGAATTAGTTTACGAAAAGACTATATTATTAACTTAGTTTTCATTAATGATAATCCACAAACAATCGACTTTGACCCCTTGAGTACGATGACCTTAAACCCCCTGAGTACAGTGTCGTCGTACTCAGAGGAAGAGTTCATCGTATTGAAAGGGTTATGATATTGTACTCAAGGAAATACCGTCAAAGTACTCAATAATGGATCAAGAAATCTTCCCTCAATTAGACAAATCCATCGTACTCAAGCTTAATTCGTCTCACCTTTATAACTATTAATTATCTTTATAAAATGATTCTACCGTGAGAGAATGTAGATGCTAATTTAACACTACATAAAGGTATCTTGAGCTAAAGTGTTGTGGACTAGATAAAGTGATTTTTGGCTAGATTGAGATGTTTTGAGCTAGACTGAGATGTTTTGAGCTAGTCTGAGATGTTTTGAGCTAGACTGAGATGTTTTGAGCTAGATTGAGATGTTTTGAGCTAGACTGATATGTTTTGAGCTAGACTGAGATGTTTCGGGCTAGATTGAGATGTTTTGAGCTAGACTGAGATGTTTTGGGCTAGACTGAGATGTTTTGAGCTAGACTGATATGTTTTGAGCTAGACTGAGATGTTTTGGGCTAGACTGAGATGTTTTGAGCTAGACTGAGATGTTTTGAGCTAGACTGAGATGTTTTGAACTAGACTGAGATGCTTTGAGCTAGACTGAGATGTTTTGAGCTAGACTGAGATGTTTTGGGCTTGAATATGATACTTTGGGTTAGGTTACGGTGTTTTAACTTCTACTTTAGGATGTTAATGAAATTTTAATCTAAGTTATGTTATTTTAGGTTAGGTTATAGGGTACCGAACTATATTATGGTGCAATAAGCTATCTTATGGTGCATTTAGACCATTTTAATGTACATTAGGCTACATTATGACGCATTAAGATACACTATAGTATTCTAGGCTAGTTTTTGGTGCTAGCAAACGTCTTTACATAAATATTCTTACATTTATTATTTGCAAATGCAGTGGTGAGGAAACTGGTGACTACTCACTAACTCAGGTTTGCAAAGAATGTTTTCTCTTATTTATATTTCCAGGTTATGATCCAGTGAGGGAGATATCACATCACAGTTAAATACTACTACTGCTATTACTACTACTACTACTTCTACTATTACTTCTACTACTACTACTACTACGTACCAACAGTTACCACTACCAAAAACATAACTGACTCCAACTACCATCTCCCACCACAACCACCACTTATCCACAACCACCAGCTATTACTACCATCTTCCCCAATGGGAGATTTAACTACGGACTCCGCCCCTATGGGTACCCAACCAGACTACAGTTTCCGGGAGAACCCAAGACCAAATTTGAACCAGCGACAGGTGAGCGAAATTTATGGGTTAATTGGTTCACCTGGTTTATTGGTTCACCTGGTTCATTGGGTCACCTGGTTCATTGGGTCACCTGGTTCATTGGGTCACCTGGTTCATATGTTCACCTGGTTCATTGATTCACCCGGTTCATTGGGTCACCTGGTTCATTGGTTCACCTGGCTCATTGGTTCACCTAGCTCATTGGTACATATAATTCACCTGGTTTATTAGTTCACCTGGTTCATACAGTTCACCTAGTTCTTCTTTACCTGGTTGACTAGTTTATTTAATTACCATCAGAGAGAGAACAACACACCCCGTAAGACTGAGGCATCAGGTAGGTGTAATAGTGGTGTCTTATACGAGACACTGAAACACACCTCTCACTATCAGCTAACATTTATGAGGTTGTTTGAACAGTTGACGTCTCAACCAATGGCTTGTTGTAGTTAACTTTCCTCCTCAACCAATATTACGGTGTGGGAAGGGTTGTTACGTGTTTATACCCTGTTAGAGTATGTATTAGACTGTGATGTTAATTGAGCCTTGAGGCCCATTGTTGTATAAATATGGGACCTCCTCCTTATCTCAGCTCCTAGACTCTATTTTCAAGTTAGCATTGTTATAGTCTACTTTGTTTGCCGTGTACTATGCCAGGTGCACTGTGTGTCATTATCGTGTATTTTCTGGAGAGTCAAACACTGTTGAATGTCAATTACTTTACCTGTATGCTGGACTACTCTTCATTACAGCCTTCCACGCTCTTGCAATATAGATGAAGATGTGAAAATTAAACTTCACAATATTTTTTTATACTTTCAGGTCGTATATTATATTAGTAATTACATTATATGTCAACAATTGGAATAGAGAGATTAACTAAAATATTCTACTATATGACCTGAGTTGACCCAATGATTATTTTACCCGAGGTGACCCCCCCTTCCCACCCACAGCCGGTGCGAGTGTTCAACATCACTGGGAGCACAGGTGTCCACATCGGTTCTGTCATCCACACCTCGATGCCTCAACCACGACCCAGAGTACCTCCCCAGGACATGCCCTTGCAGAAAGATGTCGACGCCCTGAGGAGGTGAGTGTATGGTGTGTGGTGCCCGTGTTAGAAAAAAGTTGATGCCCTACTAATGAAGTGGGGCAGATTTGTTATTTTTTTTTTTTTAGTTTTTGTGATAAATGCACCAAAATTGCCATAAATTATGTTTAATATGTGCTAAGTGATATTAGATCTAGTGCCCGTAAATGGGAAATATCTGAGATGGTTGCCACACGAATTAGAAAATCCAATAAGTCACATATCTTCAGCAATACTTTACATAAAAACACGAATAAAATATCCTTTCTATGTTTGCACACATAAGAATTCCAATGTTACTGCCATTTATGAAAAAAAGGCCTGGAAATCTTCAGGGAACAATTGTATACCTTTTCTGATCTTTGATTAATACATACGGAGAACAGAAGTTCATTATTCTGCTTGGTGGCTTACACATCGAGGTGGCTGCTGGAGAACTCTAGGAGAATGGCTGGTGGTGGCTGGATAAAGGCTCTGATTTAAGCAAATATTACAACACCTGGAATAGCCAACTCCTTTCTCAAATGCTCACCCGTCAATCGAACAAGACATGTATACCAGGTCACGTTCAGTGTTTTATCAATTTTCCTTCATAAACCCCATGATGCATAAAACAGTGAAGAAAGTAACCAATTCAATTTGACGATTGGTTCATGAAACAAGTTGAGGCATCTTTACAATGCCAGTATTAGCTTGTTATGGTGTAAGTGTGCGGTCTCTACATAACTTTGACTCTATGTTTCTGTCTTAACAGCAACAGTATCATTTTTTTTTCGCCTTCGACCACACTCACTATTATCGATGGTTGACCGTTCACATATGTGATAATGATGACAGTGCATCAACGACTTCCAGCACTAGCTATTAATCAGGTACATGAGAAAAACACTGTAGTTGTGAAGTAAGATGGTGGGGCACACGGTGGATGATAGCAGGACTAGAAATCTAGAGGGTGATAGATGACTTCGAAACAGTTGCCTTGAAAACAGCACCGACCATACTGATCTTAGGCACCACGAACATACGTTGTGTGCACAGGCCACATTTACTCGTTCAAATAACTGAAAACAAAGGAAAATCCATTCATGGAAGAGAATCATTACCTGCTAGTACTGGACAGCAGAGATATGGTTGATATGGCAGTAGTCAACACTGTACACTATATAAAGAAAATGGATCAGAGGAAATATGAGATATATGTAACAGAGCGGTTAGTGATGAGAACAACACATGTATGTGACCCTATCAAGAAAAACATGACTTTGCTCAGTCGACCACCGCTGAGGGTTCCATCTACAGCAACCCAGATGGTATCGTTTCTTAAGAGTGAGTGTGCACGAGAAGGAGACTTGGAAAAATTCTTAAAGCAGAAGAACCATACATATCAGTCATCCTTATCTCAGTTGAGGAATGCCCGATAAACTTTGTACATTCAGTGGAGATGACCCAGTTATCATACTCTGTAGTGCTGCTGTCATCAATATCCTGAAGCCAAAGCGACTCCTGTTCACATGCAGAGGTTCAGGGTTCGATTCCCGAATAGTGATGCATTGTTTGTATATGGAAGTACCCTTGCCATATGGATTGATGAGATATACTGTATTGGTAGCCTCGTGTTTCCTAGCAGGACTCGGTAAAATGCTATTACGACCACATAGTTGGCACGGGCAGTCCCCGATGAAGGTTCACGTTGCTTAAAAACAAGACGAATGTGTGAAATATAACAAAGCCTAGGATAGCATTTTTGTTGGCCTTGTGGCGCGGTGGTAGCAATCATTGTTCAAATGCAGAGGTCCACAGTTCGATTCCTGACTAGTGAGGTATATGTGTGTGTGTGTGTGTGTGTGTGTGTGTGTGTGTGTGTGTGTGTCTTATTTGTCCTAAATATGTTCATTTTCCTATTCTGATGGTGGCATTGCATTCCATATGTGTGAAAGCAAAGAAAAGCTACTTCATTTGTGTATATATGCGGCGGTCATCTTAGATTTTTTCCAATTCACGGGGTCAGGGGAAATAGTCAGCTTGGGACTACATCTGAAATCATTTGAGTACACATTAAAGATGATCTATGATAATTTTGTTTCTTTTACCACAAAACTTACAGTTCACCAAGATATGACACATATCTGCCCCACTAATAAGTGTGTGGTGCCCGTATAGAAGAGAGTTAATGCCTTGTTCAGGTGACTGTAAGAGTATGGTGCTTAATACAGATTCATACTCCTGAGTTTTCCACACTACACTACTGTTACTGTAATATTTGTTTCATTTTATATCGTTCAAAGTATGTATTAAAATTTTAAGCACAGTATGTCTTTGTGGGAGAGAGGGCTGTAACACACACACACCCCCTCCCAAATTCTATTACTTTAACTTCTTTGCACTTTTTCCACCCTGCATTAAAACTTTTTTCACTGTATAAAGACTCTATTCATTCGACATAAAGACTGTTTTTACTTTGTATAACGAAATTGTTTACATTCACCAGGTGTAGTCGAGAGATTGATGACCGCGACAAATTCGTGGTAAGCGAGCACCTGGGTAGCGCGTGGAAGTCTCTGGGGCGCGCGATGGGCTTTTCCCCTGGACAGCTGGACAACCTGGAAGCCGATCACCCCCGCAGCGCCAACCAAGCCTACGAACTCCTTGCATCCTGGCATGACAGGGAGGCTCAACATGCCACCGTATCCAGGCTGACAGAACTCCTCCTCGCCGTCAGGGCTTATCCTGTTGTCAAGAGGCTCAAACCTTAAAAGAGTAGATCACACGCTGTCAAGAACCCACTCAAGTTGTCCTGAAACTGTGCGATGCTTCGAGAAAGTTGTTGCAGATGTTAGGTTGTAAGGTTATACCCATTGAAAGCTGTTTATGTTCAAGTGACTTCACGATGATATGTCAATAATCACAATCACAAGTTCTCAAGATCCATAAGACGTATTGTGTATATAGATAGTATTTTAAAGTATGTTCAGTTATGACTGAAATGCCTGAGAACTTGGCATTCGTGAGATTTTCAAAGACAGGACTAAGACATTGATCGAAAGCCTCGCCGCTTCTGTCATGTCATCCAGAGGAAAAATATAGAAACAATATATTAGAAAATGTTATGAAGTACAAGAATCTTATTTGAATTTATTACCGCTTTTAATTACCTTATCCTTAACACACTTATTCTAGAGGTGTTCCCGCCTTATTCAGCCTTTCAATAGTCTTAACTTTACGAGTGGGAATTAAACACATTATTGGTACATAAATTAATCATATCCTATAGCGACTTAAACCATTGATAATTCCTTATACTTTTCTTAATCTCAATGGCATTTGACATGGAAGGTTAGATTAATTCAATTAAGATTTGGCAGTTATACTTACGGACATTTATATATTGTAGAGGGTTGGCTTAAATGAAATATTACTTATCAGGTCTCAGAGATGACCCCGTGACCGTAAGACATGTGGTCGAGGGTATTTGTCATATATAAAATGAAATTAAGGCTAACATTGTTTTAAATGTAGCATTTTATGACGTCATCAATGGTGTGGTTGTCTATGTCACTTTAAAGGTGAAAGAAAATTGTCTTTTGTCATTCAAAATTTCTTAATTGGTCATAAAAATTTAGTAATACAAACTACACTCTTTTAAGTCTTATTGAAGCTCTTGTCCAATATTATGTTAACAATGGTACTCTCTCTCTCTCTCTCTCTCTCTCTCTCTCTCTCTCTCTCTCAAGGAAAGCGAATACTACCTCTAATACACACAACATCGACGGTACAACCGCCGCCACTCGGCACCTCACAGTGGCCAGCACAGATGACAGGTGCTCTGATGATGATTTTAATGTCCGTCGGCCCGGGGTCAGGAAACGTTGATGCCGAGGTGCCTGGTGATGTCGGGGCGCCAGGGCTGGTTGAGGAGGCGGTGGTGTTGGTAGCGGTGGCGGTGGTGTTGGTGGTGGTGGCGGTGGTGGTGGTAGTCGATGGAGTAGTCACTTGAGTGTCTGGGCGTCTTACCTGTGAAGGATAAATAATCGCATCTGGATCAGGTAAAGCAACTTGGCTGAAGAAGGGCGAGTCCTCTATTGCCTCTGGTTCCAGCCTGGTTTTGAGTTGCTCGGAGTCGTCCTCTGATATTTGGGGAACTAACGACAGAGAAGATGAGGTAGAGGATCTCCTTTTCTCACTGACCTTAAACTTGTGATTAGTATAGATGCTGGTCGTCTCAGAGTCCTCTTGACCTTGGGGTTGATGGGGCGATGATGTCTCGTCGGGAGATTTATTTTCCCCAGCGCTGTACTGTGTCGTATACTGACCTTGACGCACAGTAATGGCTGAGGAATGTGATGTCTCTTCCTTTTGTTCAGGGCTGTATTGAAGGGAAGCAGGTGGAAAAATCGGCGCATAATGAAAGGTGGTGAGGCTTGCTGAATCCATCTCAACGGGAAAGATAGTTAAGTGAGGTGAGACGGGACTGACAACTGGATTGGGAGGGAAGGAAGGGGTGTGTGAGGGAGGGTGCTGGTGGCTGGAGTAGAGGAGCGGCAAGAACGGACCACTGTGGTGTATTGGGACCAGGTGAGTCCCCCAAGTGATGACAGGTGTTGACACAGATGACTCAAGGGACTCATGATTCGGTGATCCAAGGGTTAGAGTCGCGAGGAGCTGAGATGAGTCGCTAAGTTCTGTCGGGAAGGGAGAGGGAAGAGTCACTCATGGTGTAAAAATAAACATTGACTTTCAAAATATACATACATACATACATACATACATACATACATACATATATACTGTACATACATACATACATACATCCTTGACCACCGACGGGTCAAGACGGGTCAGACGCACCTGGCGCTGCTCAGCAGCAGCCACGTCAACTGTTATGTTGGCCCATACCAACTCCCCCTGAACCCTCCTCCCCACCGGAATATCAACAAGTTCTCGCCAGAAGTTATTATTTCATTTGGGAAAGGAATGGAACCAGTGTTGAATAGTGGTGAACAGTGCTTAAGTCAGCGAAAAACAACTCGGCAGTTGAGTCTGAGGCAAGCTAACGTTCACACAGTGAGGTCCCAGGTACCCAGTGATAATTCCCCTGAGACTCCACGATAGAGAGGCCTGGGACCACACCTCACCCACTTGAGTGAGTGAAGTCCTGTGACAACAGATCACGTGGTGTCCCCATGATGCTACGACACCACGTAGTGAATGAGTTGCTACAGTATCATGTGAAGTTCCTCATAACACCATCTGCGAGGGAATTACTACACCACGTGATGCCCCTCATAACACCATCTGTGAGGGAATTACTACATGTGATGCCCCTCATAACACCATCTGTGAGGGAATTACTACACCACATCATACACCATCTGTGAGGGAATTACTACTCCCCTCATAACACCATCTGTGAGGGAATTACTACCTCCCCTCATAACACCATCTGTGAGGGAATTACTACACCACATCAGGCCCCTCATACACCATCTGTGAGGGAATTACTACACCACATCACGCCCCTCATACACCATCTGTGAGGGAATTACTACACCACGTCAAGCCCCTCAAACACCACCTGTGAGGGAACTAGTATCCACGGATGCCCATAACGCCATCTGTGAGGGAATTACTACACCACGTCAAGCCCCTCATAACACCACCTGTGAGGGAGTTACTACACTACCTGTCTGCTGTTCAACACCTCAGCTCACATGATCTACGTGTGTAAACATTAATCTGTATGTTCACTGTATGTTCCTTCACCTTTCTCTAATGAAGGCTTTTGTTAAACCACCAATGTATGTAATAAGTCATTTATGTCCGATGTATATTTTCAGCCTTCGGGATGCAAAACTTTTTCAATAAACCGTCAATTATTATTATTATTATTATTATTATTACATACATACATACATACATACATACATACATACATACATAGGTGTGTACAAGTAGACTCGTTATACATGTACAGCAAGGTAAGGATAACTAAGAGCAATAACCACAAAAACACAGACAAGGAAAGAGGCGGAAAATAACAGTAGGAACCAAAAGAAAAGAATAAAGAAAGGAAGATAGAAGCAGCAGAAGCCAAGAACAAGAGAATATTATACTGAAAACAAGAGTAGTTGAGTAAGTAGGTCATGACCCAGGAGGAGAGGAACTAGGTCATGACCCAGGAGGAGAAGGAACTAGGTCATGACCCAGGAGGAGAGGAACTAGGTCATGACCCAGGAGGAGAGGAACTAGGTCATGACCCAGGAGGAGAGGAACTAGGTCATGACCCAGGAGGAGAGGAACTAGGTCATGACCCAGGAGGAGAGGAACTAGGTCATGGTAGGTCTGACCCAGGAGGAGAGGAACTAGGTCAACTAGGGACCCAGGAGGAGGAACTAGGTCATGACCCAGGAGGAGAGGTCATGACCCAGGTCATGACCCAGGTCATGACCCAGGAGGAGAGAACTAGGTCATGACCCAGGAGGAGAACTAGGTCATGACCCAGGAGGAGAGGAACTAGGTCATGACCCAGGAGGAGAGGAACTAGGTCATGACTCCAGGAGGAGGAGGAACAGGTCATGACCAAGGAGAGAGGACTAGGTCATGACCCAGGAGGAGAGGAACTAGGTCAGGAAGGAGGAGAGAACCAGGTAGGTCATGACCCAGGAGGAGAGGAACTAGGTCATGACAGGAGTAGGTCATGACCCAGGAGGAGAGAACTAGGTCATGACCCAGGAGGAGAGGAACTAGGTCATGACCCAGGAGAGGGAACTAGGTCATGACCCAGGAGGAACTAGGTCATGACCCAGGCTCCCAGGTAGACTCATGACCCAGGAGGAGAGGAACTAGGTCATGACCCAGGAGGAGAGGAACTAGGTCATGACCCAGGAGGAGAGGAACTAGGTCATGACCCAGGAGGAGAGGAACTAGGTCATGACCAGGAGGGACTCATGACCCAGGAGGAGAGGAACCAGGGTCCCCAGGAGGAGGAACTAGGTCATGACCCAGGAGGAGAGGAACTAGGTCATGACCCAGGAGAGAGGTCATGACCCAGGAGGAGAACTAGGTCATGACCAGGAGGAGAGGAACTAGGTCATGACCCAGGAGGAGAGAGGAACTCAGAGTAGGTCATGACCCATGGTCATGACCCAGGAGGAGAGGAACTAGGTCATGACCCAGGAGGAGAGGAACTAGGTCATGACCCAGGAGGAGAAGGAACTAGGTCATGACCCAGGAGGAGAGAACTAGGGCATGACCCCCAGGAGGAGAGGGGTCATGACCCAGGAGAGGAGAGACCCAGGAGGAGAGGAACTAGGTCATGACCAGGAGGAGAAACAGGTCATGACCCAGGAGGAGTAGGTCATGACCAAGGAGGAGAGAACTAGGTCATGACTCCAGGAGGAGAGGAACTAGGTCATGACCCAGAGAGAGGAGGAGAGGAACTAGGTCATGACCCAGGAGGAGAGGAACTCAACCCAGGAGGAGAGGAACTAGGTCATGACCCAGGAGGAGAGAACTAGGTCATGACCCAGGAGGAGAGGAACTAGGTCATGACCCAGGAGGAGAGGAACTAGGTCATGACCCAGGAGGAGACTAGGTCATGACCCAGGAGGAGAGGGGTCAACCCAGGATGACCCAGGAGGAGGAACTAGGTCATGACTAGGTCATGACCCAGGAGGAGGAGGAGGCGAACTAGGTCATGACCCAGGAGGAGAGGAACTAGGTCAAGACCCAGGAGGAGAGGAACTAGGTCATGGCCTAGGAGGAGAGGAACTAGGTCATGATCCAGGAGGAGGGGAACTAGGTCATGGCCTAGGAGGAGAGGAACTAGGTCATAAACCATGCGGAGAGGAACTAGGTCATGATCCAGGAGGAGAGGAACTAGGTCATGACCTAGGAGAGGAACTAGGTCATGTCCCAGGAGGAGAGGATCTAGGTCATGACCCAGGAGGAGAGGAACTAGGTCATGACCTAGGAGAGGAACTAGGTCATGACCCAGGAGGAGAGAAACTAGGTCATGACCCACAAGGAGAGAAACTAGGTCAGTCACTGCCTGACATCATATATACAGGCCACTCTGCCACTGTACCTAAGAAAGGGATATTAATAAGCAGACAGACAGACAGACAGATTGAGAGACACATAGATAGCTAGATAGATAGATAGTTAGATAGATAGATAGATGTTTGCCTCACCTTTCTCCTTCGGGAGGCTCTTGAAGATGCCCCAGAGTGCAGGCGGAGGGGGAGGGTGAAGGTGATGTCCTTGTAGGTCCTCGATATCGTGCAGGGGTTCATTGACATCATCCGTGACCCCGAGTGCTACATCCACCATGAGGGTCATCAACACCATCATCACCTTGGTGCGCGCCATCCCAGGAACCATCTGGAGATTTCTCAAGGCCAACATCAACCTGGTGGAGTGCACTACTAACACCTTCAGAAATCCCTTTACTTCTTTCGCTTTTTATGGTGACACTGCTTTGGAGAGTTGTTTTATTAATTATGTTTAAATCTTCAAACACAATTTACACATTTGTCTCAACTTTCCACCACAGTTAGCGTCACTAGATTTCTTTCTATGGTAATCAAGAGATTTTATTAGTTTTCTCTCCAGGAATCACTTACTTTATCAAGAATTATGACGTTCCTTTTTTTTAACCTTAACTCATGTCCCATTACTCAGAAGCTAAGAAGTCCATCAATATAACGTTTGGACAGCCTGTGGCTCTGTCTCTGTGTCAGGAGACGACTTGGGTCTCACACTTAACCAGTTCCTGACGCGGGTCGTGGGGAAGACGTGTTTGTTCTTGACACGTGCGAGGAGAAAGTTCCTTTACAATGGCTGTGAGAAACGAGGTGACTCTAGAGTCTAGACTCACCTAGGATTCCTTCATATCCATGGAAGAAGTGACAGTTCCTGTAGGAGGGTGAGGCTCCCTTTTGACAATGTGAAACTTGAGAATTTAAAAAAAGGGAAATCCCTTCAGGAGGTGGGGGATTTTTTTTTGCCCCTGTAAAGTTCATGAAGGGGTGAGGGTTCCTCTAATACTCTTGTGTGAGCTGGGTGCCCCTTCTGAAGCAGAGTTCCTGCACCTTCGTGTGAGGTTAGCGAGGATCCCTCCGGAGAGGTGTGAGGAGTGAGGTCGAGCAGGTGCGACTGGCTAGCGGTGTCCGCCAGCCAGGTAAAAGATCGCGGTCGTCGCCCCCACCCTCTCAGGGTTGCAATATCTCCTCTAGATATTTTTGTGGTTTACGTTGTGTTCTGTTCACATTCAATGATCACAACATTCCAAGTGAATCTAAACTCTAAAACAACTGACTAAGATGAATACGACAAAATAAATTCTAAGACAAATATCAGGGTACACTGACTCTCCTAAAGAGACAAGTGCATCAAAAGTTGTGGGATTGATCAAGGAAGCATCGAAGGAACAAGTCACGCCTAGCTCATCAACTGCCGGAAAAATTTTACAATATCAAAGGATGAAAACCAAGATGTCGTGAGGCAATATTTTCTCTTGTAAATTAATAGGCCAAACACTTACTAAAATTTCTGTTTAAAATGTCACAACACAGTATCTCTCTCTCTCTCTCTCTCTCTCTCATTTTGCTTCACCAGTCTCTGCAGTTTCCTCATTGGACATGCAGCACGTGGTGGTTTGATCAAAACACCTGTATAATCCAGAACCAGTCATTCAAGAACACGGGCACAGTCAGTGAAGTTCATGGACAGTCAATCAAAGCACACACCAGTCACCACCTTACTCCAGTCACCACCTTACTCCAGTCACCATCTTACTCCAGTCACCACCTTACACCAGTCACCACCTTACTCCAGTCACCATCTTACTCCAGTCACCACCTTACTCCAGTCACCACATTACACCAGTCACCACCTTACTCCAGTCACCACCTTACACCAGTCACCACCTTACACCAGTCACCACCTTACTCCAGTCACCACCTTACACCAGTAACCACTTACTCCAGTCACCACCTTACACCAGTCACCACTTACTCCAGTCACCACCTTAGTCACCACCTCCAGTCACCACCTTACTCCAGTCACCACCACCAGTCACCACCTTAGTCACCACCAACACCAGTCACACCCAGTCACCATCTTACTCCAGTCACCACCTTATCACCACCTTACACCAGCCACCACCTCACCAGCCACCACCTTACACCAGTCACCACCTTACACCAGTCACCACCTTACTCAGTCACCACCTTACTCCAGTCACCATCTTACTCCAGTCACCATCTTACTCCAGTCACCACCTTACTCCAGTCACCACATTACACCAGTACCTAGTCACCACTTACACCAGTCACCACCTTACTCCAGTCACCACCTTACACCAGTCACCACCTTACACCACACCAGTCACCACCTTAGTCACCACCTTCCAGTCACCACAGTCACCACCTTACACCAGTCAACACCTTACTCCAGTCACCACCTTACTCCAGTCACCGCCTTACACCAGTCACCACCTTACACCAGTCACCACCTAACACCAGTCACCATCTTACTCCAGTCACCACCTTACTCCAGTCACCGCCTTACACCAGTCACCACCTTACTTCAGTCACCACCTTACAGTCCCAGTCACCACCTTACACCAGTCACCATCTTACACCAGTCACCACCTTACTTCCAGTCACCACCTTACACCAGTCACCACCTTACAACAGTCACCACCTCACCACCTTACACCAGTCACCACCTTACACCAGTCACCACCATACTCCAGTCACCACCTTACTTCCAGTCACCGCCTTACTCAGTCACCACCTTACCAGTCACCACCTTACTCCAGTCACCACCTTACTCCAGTCACCACCTTACCCAGTCACCACCTTACACCAGTCACCACCTTACACCAGTCAACACCTTACTCCAGTCACCACCTTCTCCAGTCATTACACCAGTCACCACCTTACACCAGTCACCACCTAACACCAGTCACCATCTTACTCCAGTCACCACCTTACTCCAGTCACCGCCTTACACCAGTCACCACCTTACTTCAGTCACCACTTCCAGTCACCACCTTACACCAGTCACCACCTTACACCAGTCACCATCTTACACCAGTCACCACCTTACTTCAGTCACCACCTTATACCAGTCACCACCTTACACCAGTCACCACCTTACAACAGTCACCACCTTACAACAGTCACCACCTTACACCAGTCACCACCTTACACCAGTCACCACCATACTCCAGTCACCACCTTACTTCAGTCACCGCCTTACTTCAGTCACCACCTTACACCAGTCACCACCTTACTCCAGTCACCACCTTACTCCAATACACCAGTCAACATCTTACAACAGTCACCACCATAGTTCAGTCACCACCTTACTCCAGTCACCACATTACAACAGTCACCACCTTACACCAGTGACCACCTTACTCCAATACACCAGTCACCACCTTACACCAGTCACCACACCAGTCACCACCTTACAACAGTCACCACAATAGTTCAGTCACCACCTTACAACAGTCACCACCTTACACCAGTCACCACCTTACACCAGTCACCACCTTACACCAGTCACCACCTTACTCCAGTCACCACCTTACTTCAGTCACCACCTTACACCAGTCACCACCTTACACCAGTCACCACCTTACACCAGTCACCACCTTACACCAGTCAACACCTTACACCAGTCACCACCTGAGATTATGTTTAGAAGAAGGAAGACAGAACCAAAGGAGACGAGAAGGAGCGAAGAGAAAGCTGGGAGAAATGAAGGAGAAGGAGATGAGAAAGGAGGTGAAGAGAGAGTGAACAGGTTTTAAAGAAAGGTGTATACAGTATTAGGCACAGCTAAGGAGATAATATATACTTTATAACAACTTATTTCAGTCACCACCTTACTCCAGCCACCACCTTACTCTAGTCACCACCTTACTCTAGTCACCACCTTACTTTAGTCACCACCTTACTCTAGTCACCACCTTACCCCAGTCACCACCTTACTCTAGTCACCACCTAACTCCAGTCACCACCTAACTCCAGTAATGGTGGGATGAGGAGCCAAAGGGGAAGGTGGGGCGATGCTCAAGAGTAGCCTTTTCAGTTTTCCCTCTAAGTTGATCTTCGAGGTTATTAATGTTCTCTGTAGCGAAACTTAGAACAAAATATCTGCCATCTTGTGACGTTACATATTGTATGGGTGGTGTGACTGAGGCATGGGTGATGTGACTGAGGCATGGGTGGTGTGATTGAGGTATGGGTGGTGTGATTGAGGCATGGGTGGTGTAACTGAGGTATGGGTGGTGTAACTGAGGCATGGGTGGTATGACTGAGGCGTGGGTGGTATGACTGATGCATGGGTGGTGTAACTGAGGCGTGGGTGGTGTTACTGTGGTGATATTAACCCCAAAATGTAATTACTGCATTAAGGTAATCAGGGAAGTTATTCATCTATATTGTTCCAGGTAAGGTTTTATGAGTTAAAAGTATTATTGTTGTAAAAACTATTATATAACCGTAGATAGAAATAAATACATTACTAAATTTTAAGAATTATATATCAGATATAATTGAGTTTCTGGTCTATACAATTTCATTCTCTGTTAAGAAGAACAAGAGAGAAGAATGTATACAACAAAATTTTAAAGGGTAACTATCTTAAAACTCAAACCTTGACACAATGGCTTCATATCGTTACATATTTGAGAAATTTAATTGTTATTCTTTCTTGTCAGAGGTACAGTAAGTAGGAGTGAGTAATTAACATAGCTAGATAAACATATTTTCTACCCTAAAGTACAAAACACACAAATTACTGTACTGTAGAACAGGTGAGGGTACAGGGGTGTGATGATGGTTTTGAAGACTCGAAGTGGTGTAAAATTAAGCTCAAGAGGAGAGAGACTTACTCAATGTTCAATGTATCTACACATACCTAAGTTGTAGATTATTAAACCAAAGGAAATTAAGAGTCTTAATTTACAACGCAAAGGGTCTTACCACCTCCTTGTCATGGGGGACTTTAACTATGGCGACATGGACTGGAGAAATGAAACCACGCCATAGATGACATTGTTTACATAGCGAGCGCCTCCTCCTGGGTGGTAAGTAGAGTGGGGGAGTGGGGGAGGGGGGAGTCCCGCTGTCCCTTTGTTCTGTACTGGTTCACCTGCCTCCACTGCTTCCCCCCTTGTATATAACCGATGCTTGTCCGTCCCAGGTCCTCATCGAATCCTCCTTCTTCTGCCCAAAGTCCGTATCCCCCCTCATAAGACCCAGGATCCGCCCCTGGTTGTTTATCACAGGCAAGAACCGAATGTACGAAATGGTTGGGAAGGAAAACTATACTTCATCTTATATATCTCAGTAAGTCTCCCCGGGTTGGGCCTACTACATCCGTCATACCACACAGGAGGTAATGTACACCCTCATACTCCAACTATTATATAGGTTTTAATTTTTACAATCAGATAAGTCAGATTATTCGGTGGTCCAATCCTTGAAATCGTCATGTGTACCCGTGACAAGCGGGGTACCACAGGGCAGTGTATTGGGCCCATTGTTGTTTGTTTGGTTCATAAACGACATGCCGGAAGCTATACACTCCTCCATACAAATGTTTGCGGACGAAGTCAAGTTATTGAGGAAAATTAAGAACCAAGCAGACTGTGAAGTGCTGCAGAAAGATCTCTGTGAGCCTCAAGAATAGTTGAAGAAATGGCTGCTAAGATTCATTGTTACGAAGAGTAAAAAGATGCACCTGGGACGTACCAACGGTAAGAAGACTTATCATATGTCCCAACGGAACGAAAAAAACTGCATTACTAGAGACTGCATGCGAAAAGGACCTGGGTGTGTATGTTGACAATGTGAGAAGAAGGTGAATCAAGCAACTAAACTAGTAGGTCTTATAAGAAGGTCGTTCAGAGTGAGGTGCTTTCCCGCCTGGAGTACTGTCACCCCGTCTTGTCCCCGAGATATGCTAGGGACTGTCAGTTGATTGAAAATATCCAAAAGAGGCCACGAGAATGGTGCCTGCATTTCAGGACCTCAGCTATAAAGAGATATTAGAGCGCCTGCAATTGCCTAGCTTATACTACAGGCGGGCAAGGGGTGACCTAATTGAAGCGTAAAACATTTTAGAAGACACTACTTCAT